GCTCTCGAGCTCGAGCAGCATTGCGCGCAGCTGGTCGCGCTCGTCCACGATCGCATTGTAGCTATTCATGTGCAGTGCGAGCAGTTCCGCGCGCATGGATTCCTGCTGGAGATTCTTCCTGAGTGCTTGGATGATCTTGTTGCTACTACTTGTGTGATGGTGCTGATGCTGCGGCTGCGGATGCTCCACAGTAGTAGGAGTTGAGCCAGCGCCAGAGTGGGACGACATTGGCGTGTCCATCCGCGCATCGTCAAAGCGAGTGATGGCGTCCACACTGGATGGTCCAGCTCCAGCTCCAGTTCCAGCTCCAGTTCCAGCTCCAGCTCCAGCTCCAGTTCCAGCTCCAGTCGATGGCGGCGGCGGCGGGAGGAGGCTCAGCGGGACTGAATTGGCATAGGAAGTCGTATTGTACTGCGACTGGTACTGCAGCTCATGCCCTTGCCCTTGTTCATGGTCATGATCATGATCATAGCTGTGCTCTTGATGGTGCTGATGCTGATGCTGATGCTGATGGTGCGATGGCGGTTGCTGCTGATCTGCCCTGCTGCTGCTGCTGGCTGGAACAAGTCAAACCCAGTCATCGCCCCAGCCATCGCCCCGCCGCCAAAGCCCCCAAATGCATACGGAGCACCACTCGAAGCAGATCCAAAGTAGCTGCCGAGCGACGGCGCGTGGGAAGGCGACAACGCTGACGGCTTGCTGGAGGAAGAGGATGAAGACGCCCACATTTGTCAGAGTCGAGTCTGAGAAAGTAAGCAAAAGTAAATAAGAAGAAAAACACAAAAGGTAAGACTGAGGAAGTTCGCGTTCGTCTCGTCTCAGACTCTTTGACTTTGGGCTGGAATTTCAGTCATTTTGTTCAACTTTCGTGTTAAACACTTTTAAATCGTTCTTATTTATACGCGTTTGCTCATCAACATGTCTGCGAACAAGTACAAAACACCAGCCTTCGTGACGTCCTCTGATGATGATGAAGCTGGTCTCGCTGCTGCTGCTGCTGCAGACGCTGATCCAGACCGCCACGCGCTGCCGACGGGGAAGCCACCCAAGGAGGATCTCCGCTCAACCGTACCGCTCTCTTGTTTGCTGAGCCTGCCCTTGGTCGATGAGAACTGAAATGGGGGGGGGGGAATCAAAAGCGCGGGAAAACACAAGATTGCGCGCCAAAAACGCTCACTTCTGCTCTTGTTTGGCTTGCAATCAGGCGGCTGCGGGTGCAGGTGCTGCTGGGACTGGCTTCAAGACGTCCGATGGCATTGCATTCAATGTGAGCGTGTTTGTGTTGCGCGGCTTGGGACTTGGGGGACTTGGGGGACGAGACCTTACCAATCCCAATGCAATCCCACTCAAATCTCTCTTGCAACAGCTTATTCCCAATGGAAAGCGTCGCATCACAGTCCGCCGGTTTTCGGGTAAAAAGTACGTCGACATCCGCGAGTTTTACGACGACGATTCCGGCGAGCTCAAGCCAGGCAAGAAGGGTACGGAAAAAAAAAACACCTCAGAGAAGTCTGAGACGTTTCGGACGTGCGTTTTTCGCGCTTTCCACGCCTGCTCATTCCAATGATCGCTTGTTTCGTTGGTGCAGGCATCATGCTCAACGAGGAGCAGTTTACAGCATTGCTTGGCATGGCGGACAACATCCGGAACGCATTGCAAAAGATTTGAATCGGTTTCACTTTGTTTGAATGGTTTCAAAAGGTGTTTCTGGTCTGTGCTATCCTGTATCATACACAACGATTTTTCATCAAAAAAAAAAACAAAGCGAAGCAATCTCAAAACAAACAAACAGTGGTGGTGGTGGTGGTGGTAATCAATCGGTTTTCATGGGCATCGTGCGAGGCTGCGCGAATAAACTTTGACTGGTTGCTGGTGAGCCGTGCGACGAGACTCGCGCGATATTATGCACGAGATCGACTGCAGCTGTTGGAGAATCAAACGACACGTCAAGGCCGCGGTCTCTGAGCAGTCTGTTGGTCGTGCAAAAGTACCGAAAAGCAGCGGCGGGCAAATGAGAAACGTCAAGGACAGACAGCAATGCAAACACACAACCACTACTTACGCGCTGATCTGAAGAGTCAACAGTTGAGACTCTGATGACAATCGCTGCTGCGCATCTTTGCAAACATTCAAGGCCTCCTGCACAAGCCGAGCAGTCAGTCACTCTGTTACGGCATTGTTCCTCGAACAAACAAACGAACGAGCAAGCACCAACCACCTCACCTTCTCACGCTCTAGCTGAGCTCGGAGCTCGAGAAGCTCGCCCGGTGAGCCAAGCGACGCAATCATCTTGAATGCTTTGAGATAGGTGTGCTGCACAAGCGTTGCCAACGCGCCAGCCGCCTGAAAGCTATAGGCCGCATCGGAAGTGTTGGGGTCGGAGAGCTGCTCAATGTACTGCATCAAATCCCGGTCTTGTTCAAAGTTGGACACGGGCGGCGCTTCGTCAGACAGCGGGCAGTACAGCGCCATCGCCTCAAGCATCTCGTCGGTGAGATCTTCCACATTTGCATTCAGCGTGTCCTCAAACCCGAGAGGAACAAAGTCGGGCAAACGAGGAGCTGCACGCAGCACTGGTGATGTTGGCACTGCACGAGAAAAGTCGTCGCTACGGTGGTCGTCCTCGCGTTGTAGTTGAGCTTGTCGTTCCTGGCGCTGCCGCTGACGGCGACGATGCCGACTCCGACTGTCGTGTCGGGAAGATGGCGGAGAGGCCGTTTGAGGCGATGGCGACGGAGCAAAGTTCGGCAGAGGGCTCACGTTCATCGAAATGGATTTTCGCGATGGTCGTTGGCCACGTGAGCCACTGCTTGGATAGGATGGGGAGCTCGGGCGAGTGGGCCGAGGGGATGACGTGCTCGAACCGGGTGTGGAACGCGACGGCTGGCGGTGGCGCCGGCCACCGGAAAAGAATGGCGAAAGGTTGAGGGATTTCACCCCGGTATGCCCGTAATCCGCGACCACAATGTCATCGTCGTCGGTTTCGGGGCTCGAGGTACTGTCATCCTGGAGCTCCTGCTGGTCCTCCGAATCGACATCGTACCTTCCCGAGCGTCGGCGCGACGTTTCCCCGCGCGAACGCGTTGAGCGCGACGTGGCTCCGGCAGAGGCGCTTTGCTTTTGCAAAAACCGCCACAAGCGCGTATAATCAACCCGGTGGACAAAGAATGGAACAGACTTGTTGGTCCAGGACACGCCTTGCCCACCATAACGAATGCACCGGACTCGCATGACGCTTTCGAGCGAGCCGACGTTGCGCGATGTGAGCTTGACCTTTTCCAACGGTGCAAACGCCGAAGACGACACAATCTTGGCCCCGTGCTCGAGCAGCTCTTCAAACCGCTGGCGAAGGGAGAGATTGAGTTGGGGATCGAACACGTAGTTGTTGACGAAAATGATGGTGGCGCCTTTGATGCGTGGCCGCACTTCGTCCTCGAGAAAGTCGCCATGGGCCAGTTCAAAGGGCCCGCTCGTTCGGCCTCACCAGCGGAGGCGATGCTGAAACTCTTCGCCCATGTCGTTGGCGTACTTTGCGCAAATGTCGCGCTTTTCGATGCCGTAGGTGCGGCACCCCGTCTGGAGCGCCACCTGCAGCACAGCCTGGCCGACTCCAGAGCCGAGATCAATGAAAATGTCGTCCTTGGTGATGGGCACCTTCTCGACGAGGCAGTGAATCATTTCAAAGTTGACTTCGCCGTACACTTCCGCCGAGAAGCCCTTGTAGCCGTTCAGTGTCCGCGGATCGGTGATGACTCTGTTGTAGACCTGTGTCATGATGTGCGACACGAGATCGAACGGCAACCGCGAGTAGCTGGCCGTGGCGGGCGTTGACTGCGACGCTGTCGACGAGGATGGGTTCATGGGACCGTCCGGCTCCAGCTGCCGCTCCCGCTCGAGGCGAGCATGTCGGATTGGCTTGAGCCGTTCTACCTCTGCATTGAATGTGTCTAGGAGCCTTGTCATTGCGGCCAAATCGGTGCGCTTGACCGTGTTCACGGTATACGTGTAATCCGGCATCCCTTCCGGCTGAAAGTCCCTCGCGACGAGTCTACCGAGTATTCACCATTGGAACAATGCTTACAGGAGTGAGACAAAAACTTGCCAATTGTTTGACACGACACTGTATCCCTTTGAGTGTGCGTACCGGATTGTATTGAGCAGGTCGGTTGCTGGGTCAAACTCGTCGATCGGCCGCAGCGGCCACTTGTAGACTTCTGGCTCGATGCCCTAACAACAGCACACACACGCAGCGCAGTAGTAGTGGGATGAGGATGGGGGGGGGTTAGGGTTGGGGTTCGCTCAATGACGCTTCCATACAAATGTCAACTCTGCCCTCTCTCTCCGCCTGGTCTCTCCATTGCACAATGCACACGCTTGTACCATGCACGGGCTGCTGACGCGGAGCTCAATGTCGGGTGCTGCTGCTGCGCTGGCGTGCATTGCGAGCAGCTTTGCAATGGCTGCTGCTTGTCCTGCATTGTCGCCGTTGCTGCTGTCTGCACTCATCTGCCTGTTCACACAAGAAAAACGAGGACTAGAGACTCCTGTCTAATAAATAAATAAATAAATAATCTGCTCAGACTTTTGCTCAGAAGTCACTCCTCGTTTTTGGTTTCGTGAAAATGGAGGACGACGACGTGTTTGCGTTCGAGTCGTCGCACGTTGAGCGGCCACCGACGCACCGTCACAATAGCAGCAATGGCAGCAATGGCATTGCAAATCCAAGCCATGCACCGGTGCTGCGAGCTGGAGCTGGAGCTGGTTCAGGAGCTGCGTTGGCTGGAGCTGCATTGGGATTGGCACGTCGCGGCTCTGGCGTCGGTCTCATCCCAACGCCACCGACTCCAACAACGGCGACTGCTGCTGCTGCTGCTGCTGCTTCTGTTCATACTACTGCCACTGCTGCTGCTGCTGCCACTGCTACTAGTGCGACGACTGTGCCGTATGAGCGACTGGGCATGACTGCGCCGCCATATGGACTGCTGCACGCGCACCATTCGCATGGACCACTCGCAGCACATCAACAGCCACCGCCGCTGTCGTCGTCGTCGTCGTCGTCAGGATTGCTACTGCATGCATCACCATCATCATCATCACCATCGTCGTCGTCGTTGGGTGCAGCGGGAGTCCATGCGGCGGCGGCACTGCTGCCCGATCCCAATGCAGCGCCAGCAATTGGCACTGGCATTGGCGCGCTGGGCCGAGCATCGAGGCACTCGCCGCAGTCCCCGCAGCGCCCGACACAGCCGCCGTCGTCGCCACAGAGGCAGCACATTCCAGTGCACGACTCGACGGGACTGCGCGGCGGCGGCAGCGGAGGGCAGCAGAGCGGCAGTCGTCCCGCTGCGTCACCACATGGCGCTGCTGGAGCACATGTGGATGCAGTGCACGACCACCGCGACCACCACCACCACCACCACCACTACAAGGCAATACAAGGACACGGGCCTCAACATGGCGCTGACTACTACGGGAGTGACAGCCACGAGGACGGGCGCGGAGCGGCGGCCAACGAGCGCGGCGGCGCGGAACAACCGAGTCACGCCGAACCATGGACGCTGGCTGGAGATGGCGCGCGGCAGCAGCAGCAGCCAATCAAGAAGCGGAGGCACAGGCACCGGCGCGGAAGCAGCAGTGGAAGCATTGGCCGATTGACGCTCGCTCAGAACGAGGGCGACGAGGGCGCGGGTGTGGCAGACGTAGAAGAGCTCGACGACGAGTTTGTTCTGAGCAACTCGGGATTGCAGGGAAATTGGACCACTGCTGCTGCTGCTGCTGCTGCTGCTGCTGCTGCTGCTGCTGCTGCGGCTACAACACCTGCAACTGCTGCAATCTTCCACTTTGACAAGCCGTCGAGTCCAACTCGTGCGCACGCCAATGAAGGATTGCTTGGCGCCCGTCCACCACCCATTGCCACTCCTGCACTCCCTCTGTCTCACGCGGCAGCAACGTCCTCCAGCATTCATGCAGCAGCTGGCAACACAACGGCGGCATTGTCAACATCGCCACCGCCAACCACAACGCAGCACAATCCGCACGGTCCTCCACCTTCTCCAGGTGCTGTTTCATCGTCGTCAGGAGGCTCGCGACAACGTCATCGTAGCCGATCCAATCCGGCCAAGGTCGCCAACGCTGGCGGTGCTGCAGGCGCGAATGCGTGCGAGGTCAAGAACACTGTCATTGTCGTCAAAAACTTGCCATTCTCCCTCAATCCCGAGGACATGAAGCTCTGCTTGACGGCATCTCGGGTCAAGGAGGCAGCTGCCTTGTCGTCGCTGGGGCTGTCGACGCTTCCCGAGGCGGATGATCCGGTGTTTTTGCCTTCCTCGGAAGACAATGGCGTCTCGCTGCTTGCCACAGTCAAAGGCCCTCTGTTGGACAGCCTGCCGCCTTTTCTTGATGTCGAACTCTGCTATGACGCCAATGGACATTCCCGCGGCGTTGCGTTTGTCACGTACGCCAACTTGGACGACTCCGAGCGCGCTCATGGCATCATTGGTAGCGGTGTGGAGGTTGGCGGGCGTCGTCTGTTGGTCGAGTACAAGCGACAGCAGCCACCATCTGCCCCCAACTCGACCAACTCCTCCAAGGAGGTCACAACCGCAGCTGCAGTTGTCACTGTTACGCTTGCCAACTTTTCCATTCAAGCAACCCACCACCAGCAGCATCCGCACCTCCCCCACCATCACCACCACCACCACCAGCAGCAGCACCATCATCATTTCTCGGGACCATCACTTGTTCAATCAGAGCTGCACCACTCTTCAACGGATGCGCTCGACGCCGTCCATGCCGCTGCTGACGACGAGGCCCGCCTGCTGCACACGCAGCTCAAGTCCTTCAAGTACAACGACACAATGACCGTCATGGAATTTCCAGCGCACTTTTCGGCGCATCAGCGCAAACTGGTGCACATGATGGCCGAGCGCTTGGACCTCAACCACGCATCCGAGGGCGACGGCCACATTCGCACCATCAAGGTCTGGAAGAAGATTGCCCCCAAACCATCGATTCTCGCGACGCTTCCTGATGCACCCACCGAGACGACTGCAGAGCTCGACACAACCGTGTTTCGCCCACGCTCTCAAACGCTGGACGGACATCATTCGGGCCGATCGAGTTCCAGCAGCTCGAGCCACCCGCGAGGCGGCGGTGCCCACCACCAGCACCAGCGAGGCACCACTCCATCGCCGCCATTGTCCAACCAAAGCTCTCCAACCGCGCCAGAGCGCTCCATGCCGGCCGGATCGCGCTCGAGCGCCTCTTCCATTCCGCTGATGCAGTTGCCCTCCTCTCACCGGCGCCAGCGGCCTTCTGTTGATTATTCCGCCTCACTGTCGCTCTCTGGCTCCATGGGCCAGCTGCACTCCGGCTCGTCGGGCGTTGGTTTGATTGGAGACGTGCCGGTGACTGGAGGGCTCACGCGTCGATCCTTCCAACGGAGCAACGATTCTCTCTCTGGCTCTCTGTCGTCCTCGTCGTACCTGGGTCTGTCCGCTCTTGCTCCGCCCAGCCAGTCTCTGGTGCCCACTCCCTACTCGTCTTCGCCCTCAAACGCAACATCCCCGTCGCTGCTCACCTCTGCCAGCCTGCCGTTTACTGCCCTCTCGCCCGGTCGATCTGCTTCCAACATTGAAGCTGTTGTGGCGTCGACCGACGGCAGCAACAGCAGCGGCTCTACGACCGGCAGTGGTGGAGTCAGCGCTCGCCAACCGCGCGGTCCTGACGGCACGAAAGGGTTTGCCTTTCCACGCTCAGGGGAGCCCACTCCGCAAGATTTTGTTGACGCTCTGCTCTCTTCGGTGGCTCGTGAGCATGGCCAGCAGCAGTACCAGCAGCAACAGCACCAGCATCACCAGCGACACGGCGCAGCAGCCATCGGTCTCGCCACGCATCGAGCCCTGCTTCGCGATCCAGTCGTTGCCCCTGCCCCTGTTTCCCGCTTGCCTCCGTCATCGCATGCAAACACTGTCGCCCGACAACAGCTGCAAGACCTCGCACAACAGGCGCTCTTGGTGACGCCTCCGCATCCGTCGTCGACTGGCACTGGCACGGCCATGGCCGGATCCTCGCTGCCCGCCGCATCCTTCATGTACTCGTCCATGCCTGTGAGAATTCCATCGTCGAGAGCTGCGGCGCGTAGTGACAAAGGCGAGCGGAATTCAAGCGTGAGCGGCAGTGCCAGCGGTCTTGCGACGCCGTTCACCTCGCTTGCGTCCTCCGAGGTTGGCAGTTTCAAGCTCAACCCTCACGCAAGCTCGTTTGATCTTGAAGGGGCGGCTCCAGGTTCGCAGCCTTATTCGCGGAGGTGATTGATTTATTGTTAGCTTCTTTTTTTTTCTTGGTTTTGTTTTGTTTCTTGGATTTTGACTGGTTTTTTTTAATTTCTCGTTTCTGTTGTGCTTGGATGTGTTCTTCCTCGTTGACACTAATTTATTCATTGAGCATTTTCTCTCACACGGCTGTCGTCTTTTGAAATTGTGGATTTTGAATCGTTCTGGTCATTTTACGGAATGAGTCACGGAGGCACGTTGCGTAGGGATGACGCACCATGCACAAAGCAAAAAAAAAAAAAAAAGCTTCAATCACTCAATCCCACTCGCTGTCGTCGGCGCTCGCGCCGGCCTTGTCCTTGGTGCTGAGGTTGGCCTCGGTCTGCTTGCCCTTGGTCATCAGCTTGTCAGTCCAAGACTGGCCGACCGGCTGATCGCCGCTGTAGTTTGCGATTTGCGAGGTGGCCGTGTCCAGGCGTGCGATGGTTTCTGAAGTAAAAACGGGAACGAGGGTGAGAACTGGAGCAAAAATCTGATGCAGTGCAGCCTGGCTCAAAACCAGATGTGCTTCACTTGAACGAACAATCCCCAAATGATACCCGTCGTCAACAGACTGGTCTTCTTTACCGATGAACGGCGACTCGCCGCGAGTCTTGAGACGCACGCCGTCGCCCTTGTAGAACTCAAACTTTTTCAGGACGTCTTCCTCGCCCCAGAACTCGAGCGTTTTTCCAGACGTCGCGTGTCCCGGTCGTGCGAGCTTGGACACGGTTGGTGCAACCATACGATGCAGCTGATCGACCGAAACAGCATCGGCATCCGAGTCCTTGAGCTCTGACAGCCCGAACAACATCGAATCGAAAATCAGACCAAAACCCCAAGCGAGAAAAAGTTCTCGATCGAGCTTCTTCTGCATGACACCATGGTATTCAGATTCCTTGTCAATCACTTACTGTACGAGCTGTTGAGGTAGCCCGTGTTGACCTTGGTCGTCTTGCCCTGGTTGGCTTCAATTTCCTTGCCCTTCTCGTCGTACTGCCTGCGGAAGGCGCTCACGTAATCGCAATGCAGGATGATGAATCGGTGCTAAGAATCATTTGCAAACCCGATCCAATGTCATGAGTGAGTGAGTGAGTGAGTGAGTGAGGTCGTATACATCTCAAATTTCCAGCAAGAACTGTGTTGTACCTTTGCACCGCTCGCGTCCGTGATTGTGTGGCGCGTGCGTTCTGCAAAGCGACCCTCGAACAGCACTCCGACGCCACTGCGCAGTGTCCCCAACCCCAGGAGTGGTTCGACAAACCCATGCCAGGATCACGTATGAAGCAAAATTTGAGTGCCTCCATTCAATTCTCAATGCAGAACAGTCTCACTTCTGTGTGACTTTTTGACTCGGATGGGGGTACTCTACCTGCCGCCGATGGAGAGCGATCCGGCGTAGTTGGACGCAGTGCTGGGCGTGGACTGGAGCGCCCTGTCGTCGTACAGCATGTGCTCGCGGGACATTGTGAGATTGTAGTAATGGAGCTGAACTTGGTGAACTGTGAACTGAGCTTGTCTTCCAAACGAAACTAACTATGGATGTGAATGGAGTGTTGCGTTATAATAAGGTGATGGTTGTTTGATTGACTGACTGATTGATTGATTGATGATCGAGGAAGCTGCCACGAAAAGACAGGAAGGACGCTGAGATTGGAATTGGAGATGGAAGTATGGATGGAGACGTTGTGCTGCCTTTCAAAAAAACAAAGCTCTGACGTGTCCACTTGATCAACCAACTTGGCGTTGCACGAGACCAGACCGGGGTGGCTGGCTCAGTTTGCACCGAGGATCACCAGCTTGGCGTTCTCGTTTCTCTCGCCTCCATCATCCTCGATCGTCTTGCGCCTGTGTTTTGTTTTTGGATGTGGTGATGATGAGAAGAGGTGTGTTGTTGATTTGTGTTTTGAGAGATTCTATAGATTGATTTGGACATGTACTTGTAGTTTCCGACTTGTGAATTAAAATGTCGATTGAATTTTTGTACTGTATTCGACTTTCTGATTTCTTCACAATAGTTGCGCATAACAACAAGCAACAAACAATAACAACAGCAACAAACAAACAATACCACAACAACAAACAAACAACAACAACGTGCTGAAAAATGACGAGCGAAAAAGAACAAGTAGACTAACCCTCATTCGTACATGACACTAGACCACCAGTACCACATTTCCCGCTTGTCATCAAGGATCCAACGAAACAAGGATGCTACCAAACGATGGACGGTCATCGGCAGCGTCGTCAAGACACTCCATCGCAAGTGTGAGAAGCTCGCTGATGCTCCGGAGCTCTGCCTCGCTTGGTTTGAGGGCCGAGTCCAGCATCTCAATGAATTTCTGGGTTTTCACAGCCTTGCGCATATCAGTTTTCAGTCTGGGCCCGGGCTTGGCGGCGGTCGCGAGCTCGAGCAGAATCATGCCAAAAGCATAAACGTCCGTCTTGATGGTCATTCTACCCTCGGCAAAGAACTCGGGGCACATGTAAGCAGCTGTGCCTTGAACGTTTTGAGTACGCAGGTAGCTCTTATCATCGAGGTGTTTGGCAGCACGGACGAAAATCAGCCACTTTTGCGTTAAAGTACGCGTCCAAAAGCACATTGTCCGTCTTGAGGTCGAGGTGGAACAGAACATGGTCAGGAAAGGCTGTCTGGACGTAGTGCATGCCACGGGCAACATCAGCCGCGATGCGATGGCGCTGAGACCAAGTCAGCGGAGGAGTGTTGTTTTTGCGATTCAAACGATCGCGGACCGATCCGTTGGGCATGAATTCGTAAACCAGGCATCGCTCGTCGCCTTCTTCTGCATACGACAGAATGGCAATAATGTTTGCGTGGCGGAATTTGGACAAAGAGTCCAGTTCCGACTTGAATTCGACCGTGCCCTGCTTGGATTCGGCGGACAGCTTTTTGATGGCAACACGAGGGCCAGGCAAACTGGCACCGTACACGCGACCAAATGCTCCTTCGCCGAGCAGAGAATCAGCGGCAAAGTTGTTCGTGGCGGAGACGAGAGTTGCGAGAGGAATTTGCGCGATGGGTCCGTCAAAATTCGAAAAAGATCCACCAGCGGCTTGGTTGCGTTCAAGTACATCGATCTGATCAAGAGCTGACTTCAGTTCACGATTCTTGGCAGCAAGCTCTTGATCTTTGGCAGCAAGCGCCTGATCTCTAGTAGCAAGCTCCTGCTTGTTGGTTGCGAGCTCCTGGTCTTTGGCAGCAAGATCGGATCGAAGCTGTTGCAGCGTCTTATCTTTGGCAGTGAGATCGGAGCGCAATTGCTGAATTTCAGCTGCAAGATTGACAGCAGGTTGGGGCTTAGGGTGTGCTGCTGCTCGTGCAGCAATCTGCGCCAGTTCGGCAGGCACCGTAACACGCTGCTGCTGGTCAAGGCCTCTGTTTGGAAGCCCAAGTTCGCCAAAAGCAGGTGAGTGGCGTGTTGTTCATGCAAGAATCCAATAAACAAGCAGGCTTACTCTAATGTACACTTGGTATTGCCCGTTTGCATGAGTGCGTTGATTCCCGTTTTGGTCAGGAAATTCTCGTTCAAACTGTGGTTGTTGTCAATTACATCGTCAGATTGGAGCATGAGTCTAACGGCCGTCAGAGCACCTTGAAGCGATCGATATTTACTAAAACGTTTTCAGCGTCGTGTTCACTTTGAGTGCCTCAGCAAATGCTCGTGCTCCAATGTCACCAATCTGATTACCTCTCAGACTGTCCGTCCCTCCATCAGTGAGCACTCTTCTGAATCAACCACTCACATACACCAATGAAGTGAGATGCTTTACTTGAGCGTAGTGAGCGTCTTGTTCACTTTGAGTGCCTCAGCAAATGCTCGTGCTCCAATGTCACCAATCTGATTACCTCTCAGACTGTCCGTCCCTCCATCAGTGAGCACTCTTCTGAATCGCCCACTCCCACGCATCAATCAAAGTGGAATGGCTTACCCGAGCTCAGTCAGTCTCGTGTTCACTTTGAGTGCCTCAGCAATCGCCATCGCACCAGCAGCATCAATTTGATTGTGGGACAGACTGTCCGTTCCCAAGCAGTCATTCTCGTCAGCACTCAAAACTGTGTTCCAAATCAACTCGGGCCTTTCTCTTACAGGAGCCTTCCACTCGCGTTCTTGATTTGATCATGCAACTCGCGCTGTCTCTGATTCATATTCAGATACGACAGCATTTTGGGAAATCAGGACAGCGAACGACGACTGTCCCCCTCCTCACCCAAAACAGAAAGTATGCGGTACAAGTACGCAAAAAGTATGATCGAAATTGAATACACGTTCATCACAACTCCCAACAGAATCGGGGTGTGTAACACGGTCAGAGCAAAAGCAAAACGAGCGAGCAATTTCAAACTCGCATGCACTCAAAGTCACTTGGTGAAACTCGCAGATTGGCACTTTTCTTTGAGTATCGTCATCTTCGTCAACCAATCAAGTGGAAACGCCAGCGGTGGCCATGGTGCTATTCAGAACGCATTCGCCGCTCGACCGACCTCGAACGGCCAACCCGTTCTCCACGACGCGGAGCACTTTTTTTCAGCATACAAAGAGACATTTGGGTAGTAAAACCACATTGCGAGCCTTGTCGCGTCCAACGCCGACCCGGAGACCCGGCACATCGTCGATAAACCTGTCGACTCGAGCAACGAGGATTGCTAGCGTGATTTCCTTTGTCCCGCTATCCCACCACCAATAAATCCATTACTGTTTGATTCGAAATATAGTTTTACATCTAATTTGTAGAGAACATGTGTCCTCGCTTGCGCTGGGACCCGCAATCAAACCATGGGAAATTTGAGCAACATTCTCGGAGCCGGCGAAGCGACGATCGCCCATCAAGGCACAGTGCCCTTCCAGATAAGTGCTCCCCAGAGCCTTTTGGATGATATTATGTCAAGATCAATAAATTTGGACGAGTGGCATGCTCAAAGTGAACTTTTGGTTGACTGAAGGACATTGCTTTGATGGTTGTGCAATCAGAAGCCAAGACGGTAGCGATACACGCCAATCCCTTTCTCCCTTTCCCCATGTACACAAACAAGCCATGCCAATAAATTAGAAGTGTAGCGGGGGTCGAAAATGACAACAGAATGGCGCTGTGGCAATGCGCAACTGATCATGGCAATCGACAACATGTTCGCCCTTCGCTCGACCTTCAGGCCTACTTTTGCCATGGAGTATTGATATCTGCATATGGTACAATCTCATAAAATGGTGGAATTGTAGGGCGAACAGGGACTGAAGGGCAACATTGTCAGCGAGCCAACGTTTTTCTCCAGTTTTCTCAGTTCTTTGTGCTCGTCTTCTCGCCAGTACTCTGTCAACAATTTCTCCTTGACTGTGGATCTTTCCTCCTCTCATTGAATCGCCATCTTCATCATCACTTTTGTACATGTATTTGCAAATGCAGTCCTTTCTTCCACAATGCTTCTTCAGGCGATCCTGTTCGCTGCCGTCGCTGCGCTCGCGTTCGTCTACTTTAAGGTGCGCGGCACGGCGCCGTTCCTCGACTTTCCCGGTCCGCCGCGTCACTGGTTTTGGCAGAATGCGCGCCAAGTCACCAAAGTGCTCCATGCACGGTAAGCCCCCCCCCCCAAGTCCCAGACAACGACAGGCAGAGTGTGAAGTGTGAAAAAAAAAAAAAAAAAAACGCCGTTCGTTTTCACCTCCAAAGCGAGCTGCTGTTTGATGGCGTTTTTGTTTTGACCTGGTTCGGTGAGATTGAGTTCAACGAGAGTACAAGCAAGATGAGGGGAGGGAGAGTGGAGGGGATCGCACTTGGCTGTATTGAGTGGAAGGGGCCAACTGATGACCCGAAACTGAACTGTGGGTCTTTTTTTTTTTTTTTTTTTTTTGGTTTCGATTCTTTTTCTTTGTTTTCGTTCCGCTGCTGCTGGACCAACGCCGCCGCCTGCGTCCGTCCAAAGAACGATAGAGCGAGTATGGGTCTGTATGAGCGAGTGAGAGTGAGTGGGGCTGAGTGAGAGCGGTCGACCTCCGAAGAACAGCACAAGGTGCAAGTGTGGCCACGTGAAGTTCCGCTCCTTCCGTCTTGTTGGACGCTTCTTCACTGGGTTTTTTGCGCTTCCGTCATCCAGCATTTGCTGAGATCTGATCAGGCTTCCATTGCTGATCCGTTTCGTCATTGCAGTCGGAGGTGGATTCGGAAGAGCAACAACGAAAAAACGCGTTCTGCTCAAGTTCAATGGAAATTGCATTGAGTTTTTTTTTTTTTTTTTTTTTTTTTTGATTTTTCAATTGAATGGAAATCATGAGGAAGGTCAGCTGGACAAATCGGAAAAAAGAAGAAAAAAAGCAATCGCAACACGATGAAAGAAGACCAAAGAAGATCGTCACGTTTGAGCATCAACGAAATAATGGAACAAGCGAGAGAAGGGGTGGGGAGGGGGGAAAGGAAGAAGCCACTCAACATTGTAAGGAAAAGGAAGTGCGGAGGGGTTTTGGCATGATCACTCTGATCTCGGACCACAGTTATGTGACTTGTGTCGAACATGCTCATTCAGAGCGTAGGGTAGTGCGAGAGTAGTGAAATGGCGAGGAACGCTTGAAGCAACAATGGCGAGGAACGCTTGAAGCAACAATGCAATAACGCTGAAAAAGCTCAGAAAACTCAGAAAACTCGTTTCATGTCGAGCATCGTCCAGCTCTCACTCACCCTCGACCTTGTCTCCCCAACTTCTTGCTCACGACAGACACGACTGGTGGCGCGCCATTTCCAAGGAGTACGGAAACATTGTCTACTATCGTTCGCTCGGCATCAACATTCTGAACGTCTCAGACCCCGAAATCCTCGACCAAGTGTTCAAGAACTACACCATCTTCCCATCCCGAGCACTCAAGAACCCCTTCGTTCGCGTCCTGCCTCTCGGGTATGGCCTGTTTGTTTCCAATTTTTTTCTTGGTGGTGTTTTTGATTTGTCCATCAACTTACCTTCCCTCTGTCTCCCTGCTTGCTCGCATCCTAGATTGGTTGCAATGGAAACGAGCGATCGCTGGTCGCGCCATCGTCGGTAAGCTCTCTACTCGCAATACTTTTCTTGTCATTTCCCCACCATCCACTCGCTCACTCATTTCCTTTTTTGCAGTCTCTTGTCGCCGCTGTTTGCTGAAAAGTTCATGGAGGTCTACGCCACCGTGTTTATCGCATCTGGCGAGCGCCTCTTCAAGCAATGGCACGAGACCCCTCGCGGCACCAAGATCAACATTTACGAGGCATTCATCCGCCTGACCCTCGACATTATCGGTCTGACTGGCTTTGGCTACAACTTTGCCGCCCTCGACAACCCCGACTCGCGCTATGTCCACGCCGGCCAAGAGATTCTTGACGAGATTGTTCGCCTCAACCTTCTGCCCAAGCCCATCGCTGCTCTCGACCGCGCCAAGAAGGACAAGCTCCGCGACGGTAAGTTTCCACAAAGTTCACCGTGTTGTTGTTGTTGTGGCATGAAACGACGCAGCCTGCTCACTGCGTTGCCATTTTGGAAACCCCCCCACCCTTCCACCCCAAACAACCTCACTTTTTCTCAGGCATGAAGGCCTTCGAGGACGTTGTCGACGACGTGGTCAAGGCCAACCGTGCCGGTGGCAACGACGAGGACGAGACCTCCAAGAACATGCTTTCCGAGCTGCTCCGCATGCAAGATGAGGAGGGCAAGCTGACTCGCGAGGAGGTTCACGACGAAATCATTACGCTCATGATTGCAGGAGTAAGAAGTTGTTCCTTAAACAAGAGTGTTGACTGAATGCCTTGTCTGTACACTTCACTCACAACTATCCAATCTAAACGCCAACACAGCACGAAACCACCGCCAACACCATGTCGTGGGCCATCTTCCAGCTCGCTCGCAACCCGTCCGTGCAGGCCAAGCTCCGTCAGGAGATTGAAACAGTGCTCGAGGGCCGCCCACCAAAGTACGAAGACCGCAAAAACCTGCCCTACACAGAGTGGGTCATCAAGGAATCGCTGCGCATGTACCCAACTCTGCCCATTATTCCTCGTGAGGCCATGGCTGACACTGAAATCCGTGGCAAGCTCGTGCCAAAGGGCACCTGGGTCCAAGCAGACCTGGTTTCCATGCACAGCGACCCGAAGATTTGGGGCGACCCAGAGACCTTCCGCCCCGAGCGCTTTGACGAGAGCAACCCGGACAACAACCGCCACCCTGCTGCATTCATGCCGTTCGGAGGTGGTCGCCGCATCTGCATTGGTCAGCGATTTGCCTTCCTCGAGGCGACGCTCGTGCTGGCTCGCGCCATTCAGCAATTCGAGTTCCGCATGGATCCCGACCAGCAAGTGACTGGCTATACCGACATTTCGTACGGACCCAAGATTGGTCTGCTTGTTGATGTCATTCCGATTCAACCAAAGGCTGAATAACCGGGGGAACGGGTTTTAAAATTTTTGGTTGAAGCATTTTGTCGTTCCGAATACAAGCATTGTTTTGTTAAAGTGTGTTGATGTACTTTTGTTGTTGTTGTTGTTGTTCTTGTTGCTCGCTGTACAAGCGAGAGAATACATGGATTCATTTTTGCACGGATGATCAACAAGAGTGACAGCATTATTCTGGATGGGTGGGTGGGGCGTTTAAAGCTTGGCCTTGGGCGCTGTGGAGAGTCCAGCAAGTTCGCGATCGCGGACGGAATAAAAGATCTTGTGGACTTCGTCAAAGGCCGGGACGCTGGCGGCGACATCCCTGCCAAGAAACAGATTTGAGACGTTGGAATCCTCCACCAAAGCACACAAAAAGCAATCGCACGTACTTCATCCACTTGTCCACATTGGCGAACGGCGAAAAGTCAAAGCGCACCATCTGGAGCTGAATGAGCTCGCACACGGCAGAAATGTCTGCAATGGAGGGCTTGTCGCCGCCAATGATGAAGCGGTTGGACTGGAGGAAGTTGGTGTCCTGCCGGAACAGCAAAAAGCAAGCGGCGGTCAGCATTCCATTCCTCAAAGAGAACATTGCCATGATAGACGCAAACGTGCAAGGAGCGAAAAAAGAAAGGCCGTACAAGCTGCTTGAGCGCAAACTGGAAGGTCTTGAACGATTCTGCCGAGGACTTTTCGTCAATCTGGATGCCAAAGCGCGGTGCCATGTACTTTTCGCGGAAATGATGCGCCGCCGTGCGCGTGTACGTGTGATGCCAATCTGCACAATGCAAAGATGAGCCCGCTGTGCACGGCCGTGCAAGGATGGATTGTGCAAGCAATGAAAACAAGAAAACACAAATGCGTACCAAGGTACTGGTCCACCAGGGCGCGCTTCTGTGGGTCCTTGGGATACCAATGATCGGGAAGATTGTACTTGTTGCACAGGTACCTCAAGATTGCATGGCTGTGGTGTGGAGATTCAAAGGATTGAGTGAGTTGAAGAAATTGAAGCGTGTTCCTTCCTGGTCGTGCGGCCGGTCGGATGACGACGGGGCGCTGTTCACTCGTGTGAGACAGATGCATCTCAATGCCACGACAGCCACGACAGCCAAGGTGATGGAAGAGTGGAGGAGGGACCAGAGCAGATGTGCGTTCCGCCTCCGCGCTTCATTCACAGCACAGACGCTCACGACTGCTGCGCACCTTTCGAATAGGACAAAGCCATTGTCATCGATGACTGGGATTTTCTTGTTCGGGTTGATCTTCTTGAACTCTGGCTTGTACTGATCGCCTGTGAACGAGATTGAACCAAATTTTGACTCTGAATTGAATTGCAGAGTTCAGATTATCATCGGATCATCGAAAGGGGGGGTCGTGCTTCTGACCCTTGACGACGTTGATAATCTTGGGCGTGAACGGCAGGTTGTTGGCGCGCAGCAGAATGAGCACTGCGCGGCTCGGTTGGCTCATTGCGTCAAAGTACAGCGAAAGACCGGCAGACATGGTATTTTGATAACTGACTGACGGACTCAGATCAGGAGTTTTACACAAGACAAAAATCATCTTGCATTGATATGGACATCTTCACTCCTTTTGAAAACCTTCAGCCAACGGGTGCTTCAGCCAAAAAGCCAGAGCCCAAAGCCATAAGCCAACAGCCACTCTCTGTCTCGTCGTCCCCGTCGTCCCTGAGCCACCTTCCCCTCATCCCGCTGTTTTTGTTCGACTTTTGATCGACTTTGGTCTCTGTATTGCCGCTTTTTTTGCCCATCCATCGCTCGGCTGTGGCTCGGGCGCATCTCATTCAGGACACTGCGTCGCACGGCCTCCTGACTGACTGACTGACTGACTAGCTGACCCTGCGACGGGATGGCTGGGTCTGCATTGGAGCCTCATCAGCACGATGACGCTGCGTCTACCATAGCTACTACTCCAAGTCACACTCTTGCTAATGCTGCTGCTGCTGCTGCTGCTGCTGCTGCTGGTGCTGGTGGCGGCTCAATAGGAGCAGCGCAGCATGAAGCCAGCTCCAATGCTACTCCTATTGCTGCTGCTATTGCGGCTGCCGCGCTGTCATCCTCGTCATCCTCGTCATCATCATCCGCAGTCACTGCGGCTACTCTGCTCGACGACGCAACGACAAGCCACACGCGGCGGAAAGCGTCCGTCACGCACGCCATGATTGTCATTCTCATTGAATTCGCCTGCGTCGGGCTCATCATGCCAATCATCCCGAGCGTCATGAACAATGCATTCGGAAATAACGTCTTCTTGGTCTCGGGATTATCGCAAGGCGTCAAGGTAATGGCCCTGTCACTTTGTTGTTTTTGAAAGCAAGGTATCTACCGCCTTTTGCTCATCTATCTGGTTTGGTGGTTGCTGTGATTGCTTTCGATGCTTGCTGAACTTGTGGACAGGGCATTCTGGCATTCTTCTCGGCACCGGCGGTCGGAGCATTGTCCGATGTGTACGGGCGAAAGCCATTCCTGCTCTTGTCTGTCTTGTTCACTTGCCTGCCCATCCCGCTCTTGTTCTTTGCCAATCTGTGGCCCTACGTCATTGCGATGACATTTTCCGGCCTGTTCGCCGTCACCTTCTCGGTCGTCTTTGCCTACGCAACAGACATTACAACCGAAGACGAGCGCAATTCAGCTTACGGCAAGGTAAACGACAGAACGAGTGTTCTTGGGCTTTGTTTCTTGCCCATGTTGCATCGTCGTCTCACTTACTGACGTGTGATGATGATTTTGCAATCCTTGAATGTGGCGAACTTGTCACCTTCATCTCGTTCTTCTTTCAGATCTCGGCAATGTTCGCGGCCAGTCTGGTGCTCTCTCCGCTCGTGGGCAGCGTCATGAGCAAGGTCTTTGGCAACGATGCAGTCTACCAGCTGGCATGCCTGCTTGCGTTTGCCGATTTGTTCTACATTTACGTGTACGTGCCAGAGTCGCTCTCGTTTGAAAAGCTGCAGCGCAACCAGCGCGCTCTCGGCGGGCGGTCGAGTTTGTCGAGCAGCACCTCCTCATCATCCATTCCGACAGCTGGAGCAGCAGCAAAGCTACACCACCACCCGTCTGACGGAAACATTACCATCCCAGCAGCAGCAGCAGCCTCCATCGCTGCGAGCGATCTGCGGCCATCACCCTCTTCTGGATCCTCCTCCATCAACGGGTCGCTCCATCACCTGCATCACAGCAACTCTCATAGCTACAATGGCAGTCCAACTGCACTCGACAGCGGCTTGAATGGCGGAACTCTGGGCCACAGCAGCGATCTGCGTGGTGTCAGCCCGCTCGAAGCCGACCTGCATCACAATCACAACAACAACAACAACAACAACAACAACAACAACACCAACAACAACCATGGCCGACGGAGTCGACGACATCAGTTGGCTGGATTGTTCAGGACGCTGATGGACAAGGGTGATCCCCTGCGCTCGCTAAAGACCGTGGTCACCAGTCCCGCGCTTCTCCAGCTGTCACTCATGGTGTTTCTCAGCTACTTGCCCGAGGCGGGAGAGCAAATGCTCATGCTTCAGTACCTGGGAGCGCGCTTCCACTTTACCGTTTACCAGCTCGCATCCTTCATTGCGGGCATGGGCATTTTGAGCGTGTTTGCCCAGACATCGTTGCTCTCCTACTGCCACACACGCTTTGGCGACATGCTGACCATTCAGTTCGGGCTGGCTCTAGCTGCCACCCAGCTAGTGTGGTACGGTGTCGCATCGCTGAGCTGGATGATGTACGGCGCTGGAGCGCTGGCTGCCCTGTCCACGTTGTGCTACCCTGCCATCTCCGCCCTCGTGTCCAAGCATGCACCTCCCGACCAGCAAGGTGCTGTGCAGGGCATGATTACAGGCGTGCGCATGCTCTGCAATGGTCTTGGACCACTTCTGTTTGGCTTGTTGTTCGACATTGCCGGCCTCCAGATTTCAGAGTACCGCGGACACTCACACGATGACGACGAGGAAGACGACGACGACATCATCTTGCATGCCGGTCTGCCATTTCTGGTGGGTGCCGTGCTCGTCCTCGTAGCACTGGCCCTTTCCACGCGGCTGCGTCTGGGCGCGCCGTCCTCGATGTCGGCCGTTTTGCATGGCGAGAGCAGTTTGCCGCAGCTGGCTGCGCCTGGTGCCGCCTCTACTTCCGTCCCTCCGTTGTCGCCGACCAAGCTTCACGGACCCAGCGTCGGATCTGGGCACAGTAACGCCAGCACCAGCGGAAACAATCACACTGTTCTCACTCTGCCTTCCCCGATGGTTCACTCGGCGCCGCATCCATCGGCGGATCGCGATGACGATGACAGCGACGCCTACTCGGGCAGCAGTAGTAGTGGTGGTACGAGTTGGTCCAGTAAGTTGGGGTTGCAGCAGCACTCCAAGTACACGAGGCTTGCTGCCGACGACGAGCCGTCCTCCAGCACGGGCACGGCAACCAGCGATTCCTACACTTCCAAACTTCTCAGCTTTACTCGCCGAAAGGACGCCAAGCAATCGTAAACTCGAAGCGATATGTGTGTGTGTGTGTGTGTGTGTGTGTGTGTGTGTGTTTGACCTTTGATTCTGTTTTGTGACTTATCTATTTTTCGATGGAAGCGCTGTACAAGCGCTGTACAACGATGAACTATTTTTTTGATTTACGTGTTGCAAGTTCACCTCTATAGCGCTGCTTCTCGGACTGATTGAGACTGCGCTCATGAATGTTAGTAGTGCCCTGCAAGTTCTCAGCCAGTTCACGCTCTCATCCCAGTCCCCATTCAAAATCGATCAATTTCCATTCAATATCAGTCAATCTCAGTCAATCTCAGTCAGTCTCAGTCAGTCTCAGTCAGTCTCAGTCAAACACCAATGCTGCGCTTGATCGCGCGGCCCGTTACTGCTGTGAATGCTGCTGCCTCTGGCACTGCTCCTCCTCCGCCAGTGCTGCTGCCGCGCCGTCACGCGTCCTCGTCACGCAATGTAATCACTCACCAGGCACCACGTCCGATGGCAGCCGCAGCGATGCAGCAGCGCGTCCCGCACGGCGGCGTGTCGTCCTCTGCGTCTTGGTCTTGGCGATCGTTGAGCAGCGCGGCTCCTGCGCTCGGCCGAGCGACCCGCGCGACCCAAGCACAAGCTCACGCCGATGAAGAGACACCATCCACGACTGAAGCGTCGGCCAAAGAGCGACCGAAGGCAGGCCGAGCAAACAAGTCCACTGCTGCTGCTGCTGCTGCTCCAGCCAAGAGCAAGTCCAAACCAAGCGCAGCCGACACTGCAGACGACGACGCCGCCGCCCCCATCAAGACCTCGAGTCGCAAGCATACCAAGACCAAAAGCAAGCTGCCGGCGGCCGATGGTGGTGCCCGCTACCCAGCAGTCACTTCCACGCTGGACCAGCACGCACTGGACCTGTTGGCAGCCGTGCCGAAACAACCAAAGCCTGCAGCAAATTCAAAGCGCTTGCACGAGCATGTCAGAAGGAGCAGATACGAGTATCAACACACTGCCGAAGCGTCGCTCGGCCGACTGCGATCATTACAGATGGTCGTGCTGCCGCCCTTGTCCAAGTTTATCATGTTTGAACCCTCGTTCAACCAAGCACACACTGTGTCCAACCAGACAGTCCAGTATCCGGCTCGCAAGCGCGCCTTGCTGCCCATCGCGGCTGACTTTGCCACCGTGCCAAGACTCGCGCAGCAGGTTCGCAACGTACTTGTCCAGTCTGCCGTGCAAGTGTTGCCGCGCCAGCACACCGCAGAGCTGTATCAGCTTGCATCGAATGTTGTCGATACGCCACTGGTACGCGCCTCGGATGTTGTGCGCAATGCCATGACCGAGCCATACCTTCAGTTTGCCCTCCACGTCCGCCACCTCTTGGTCGGTTGCAACTCACTCGAAGGCCAACCTCGCTTTTACATGACCTGTGGCACGCTGCTTCCGCGTATCGGCGCGTATACCTTTCTGCTGACCGAGGGGCTTGCTACCAAGAGTTGGTCCGGAATCTGTGTTGGACCCAACTATCTTCCCGTGAGGAATGATCTCTTGCCCGAGCCATCTTCCTTTGCGCGACTGTTGACTTCCGATGAGCTTGTAGCGGGCAGGCAAAAGTCAACGCAACGACAAACAACGCCCGTCGTACCCAGCCCATTGACGAGATTTGCGCTCCATCTTCTAAACACCCCTGGCGTGAATGTGGAAGAGGCCTTGGCCTCGTTTCGCGCGCTGCCCGACGCTCCCAAGCTCCCAATTAAGGAAAACGACGAAGGCACTCCGGCAGACGCGGTCGGGAAATTGCTTTCTCCCCGCCTGGTGAGCATCACATTCCCGTTATTTTCGACCGCTGGCGTGCTACTGGTGCAAGTTGCCCAGGCCTTGCGTCAACTGTGCAGCAGCAACAGCAGCAGCAGCAGCAGCAGAAGAAGAAGAAGCAACAGCAGCAACGCTGCTGAATCCATGGATGTCGTGTGGCCTCGGCTCAATGCTGTCGCTGAACGGTATTTTGCGCCTCTGCTTGCAACAAACATCCCCTCAGGTCGTCTGCTTGAGCAGTTTATGCTTGGGGTCGTCTGTGTCTATGCGCAACACATCGAGGCGGTTGGGATTGCAACCACCTTTGGCAGTCGTGTTACCGCGACCAGTTCGCGCTTTCCTTCAAGCCGAGGAATTTTGCGGCCTGCAGGAGCGGTCATGGTGCCCGCAAGCGCGGAACTAACGTCTGGCACGCAGAGCAAGACCGCCAGTGCCGCTCGCACTTCCTGTCCAACAAGCGCTGCGGCCACCCTTGGGCCGATTCTCGCAGGAGTGCGAGGGTCTTGGTGGAGCATTACCAGCGGCGAGCCCACCAAACCCCACGAATACCCGCCGGACGTATGCTTGCCCATCCCTTGGTGCCCTCCCGACTCGCAGTCGGTGCTCTTGCATCGCCGCCTGCCAGAGGCCTTTGATTCAGACTTGCTCTCGGACAATCCGCCGCGCGGCGCGGTCGTTGCCCAGCCATTCACCTTTTCCGTGGTCTCCTCACCGAGTTGGTTGGAGCACTCGTCTCCCGGCTTGGCTCCAAAGTCTGCTTCTGCTACTACGAGTCCGGATCTGCTCGCGCTGCGCGAGCTGGTCGTGACGTTGGGGCACACTGACCCATCCCAACGCTCGCTCAAACTCACCAGCCTGCACACCATTGCCGAGCACGAGCTCCATCTGGAAGATTTCGAGGGCGCACTGCGCACCTGCACGTTGGGCATTGCCATCGAACCCAACTTTGTGCAGCTGCGGTTGACGCGCGCCAAAGCAGCCCACAAGCTCGGTCGCCACGCATTGGCGCTCGAAGAGCTGGATGCGATCGACTCGCTTGTTGAGCAGCACCGACGCGGCGACCTCCAACTGCCCAGTGCCACCCAGCTGTTGGTCAACAATAACTACGCTTGGCGCGCGGCCTACGGTGCCATTGAGCAGCTTCGAGCATTGCTCGATCCTTCAACCGTTTCCGATTAATCAACCAGCAGCAGAAAAATCAAAAACAAAATAAAAGCAGTATGTTCGAACAGCCGACCAAAAATGATGCTCAGAGTTGTCGAGATGAAAAACTAGAAAATTGTGGTGGAATTCAAGACAGAGCTAGATCTGGAAATCGTTATGAAATTCAAATTAACAAAGAAAATTATCAAACACAAAAACAATACCACAAAAACAAGTACCAACAGGATCCGAGTCAATCCAATCCCACCGAGCAGATGTGTTTGGGATATATACTAAAAAAACCCAAAAAAATTGTACGAGAAGAGGGAGGAATAGAAGGGAAAAAAAAAGAGTGAGAAAAAAAAAAAGAGAAAGAAATATCAGGTAACAAAAAGTACCCCACTAGTTTTGCGCATCTATCGCCAGCGAAACAATGTTATTGCTGGAGAAGAGCGGCGGCAGCCAGAGCAGATGCCTTGTTGGCAGCGTCCATGACGCCCATGATGTACGCCATGAATGGATCGCTCTTGAGGAGACCGACGTGCTCCTGGCCTGCAAAGGGAACAATCTCGACGCCGTGGCCGGCATTGTTGCCCACCCAGTTTTGGCAAAGCGTGAGCGAGGGGAGCTGGACAACCTTGTCGCCTTGGATGGCATCGTCGTAGTAAGGGTTGGTCGAGTTCATGGGAAGGAGGAGGAGGGGGTCTGCGCCAGAAAGCAAGACCTTGCCGTTGCGGATGACGGGCTCGCGGTACTTGTTCGGGTTGACGGTGGTGGCGTTAATGTCGGCATAGTAGTCAAAGCCTTCGGTGGGCAGCGTGGTGCCATACATGCAGTGCATGGTTGTGTTTGGCGGGAGAGGGTTGCCGCGGGGTTGGATGACCTTCTGGAGAATGTCAATGGCGCCCGAGCGGTCGAGAGGCAGCTGGCGGAGGAGGGACGGCAGCGAGTTTTCAACGTCCGTCAGCTGGGCAGTGTAGTTGCGGTTGCCGACCTGGACGAGCGGCTGGGTGCCAAAGTAGTCGCCGTTGGGGATCATCCAGAGCACACCGCCCATCAGACGCTCGACGGGGAGGAAGGCGTAGCTGCTGCCGGGAAGACCCTCAGAGTTGCCAGAAATGGCAGTGCTGTAGGCCATCGAGGCGCCGAGGAAGGGCGAGGACACGGACAAAAAGCTCTCGAGGTACAAGTCCTTCCAGGTCTGGTTGACAAACGTGTTGAGGAAGTGCAGGTAGTACGGGCCGCCGAGCGAGTGGGTCGAGACAAAGACCTTGCGGGGTCCGGTGGCGCAGCTGCGAGTCAGCTCGTACGTGTCCTCAATCAGAGTCTTGAGGTCAGAGTACATGGACTGGAGAGCAGAGTCGCAAGCGACCATGCGGAAGTCGTAAGGAGCGCCGCGGACGTTCATGTGGTCGACGTAGCCGGGGGTCTTGTGGATGAGCGTGTTGGCCCAGCGCTCGTAGACGGCCGAAAAGCCAAAGCCATAGTCCGACTCGACAGCAAACAGATTGGCAATGCCTTCAATGCCGCCATAGTCGCGTGGGCGGACCAGAACGCCGACCTGGTTGGTCGACTCGAGTGTGGTAGAGTTGAAAAAGACCTGGATCATGTCTTCCCAGCATTCGCGAATGTGGTGCGGCGGGATGATGTCTGGAGGAGAGGAGAGGAGAGGAGAGGAGAGGAGAGAGGAGAGTGTGTGCAGGAGGAAGAGGAAGAGGAATGAAAAGTAAGAAATATGAAAACATGGAGCAAATCAAAAAAACAACGTCCACAAAGATGAACGTGCTCAAAACTACGACTCACCGGAAGACTCGATGGAGGGCCACAGGCGGTTGATGCCCGAGCTCCACTTGTTGCGGGGGTAGAGGAGTTCGCATTCGGGGTGGATGAACTTGTACTCTGAGGTGAGGTAGTAATCAAGCACGGACGCGCCGAGGCCTGGAATCATGACAATGGGGTGCACGCAGGGGTCGTATTCGCCAATCTGGGCGCCAGACGGGGTGACTGGCGCTTCTTGTTGGCGGATGGGCAATGCATGGGTGCAGGCAACCGCCGCCACCATCAAAAGCAGCGCACTTTGCTTGAACATGTTTCTTTTCTTGTTTGAGCAGAGTAGAGTGGTTTATGGAACGTGTTCTGCCAACATCAACATTAAGAAAGTGAGTGACATTGCAAAACAGAAGTTAGGTCTGTCGGAGTGGTTGTGATAGCGGGAGAAACGAAGGAAGTAGGAGAAGACGTACGAGCGTTGTTTTGTTGTATTTTCACGAGTGAGCATTTTCATTTCCTTTTCTATTTTGTTTTGCACCATCACTGACTTGCTTCATCATCATCATCAGCATGGTGATACGATCTGCTGTGCGCTGTGGTCGTCGTCGTCGTCGTCATGCGGCAATGCGTCATTTGATTTTTGTGGGGTGATGTTTTTTTTTTGTATTAATTTTTCTATTTTTATTTGCTTGTTTTGGCTCCGACCTCCGACAATGCATTTCCAGCCATTTATTGCAGCCACCGACGCCGCGCCCGTCAAGCAAGCAAGCAGGCACAGGGGGATGTTTGTGCTGAAACACCCAACGTGGAACGCACACCGCCCTCCATTCAATTGCTGGTTTGGTTGGTTTTCAAAGTCGGACGATGTTATCAAAAGGGAGCGGTTTTTGCGGAAGGCACTGGAATAGAAAAACCCAATAAATCTTACTAAAACAAAAAACCACAACTCGAAATCCGACTGCATCGACCGCTCCACACCCACGAACAACACAAAAGAGCGAGAATGCCAAGCTCGCAGCATACAGTCATTCTCAATCGCTGCTCAACGGCACGAGCGAGCGAAAAAAGGGGAGCGTATCCCACGGACAATAGAAAAAAAACAGACCCACCACGTGCGAAACAACGCTGGTAGGCACATCCAGCCACAGTCACCCGATGCCACTCAATGGATATGTGTAGTCATATAGAGGCAGTTGAGGTTTGAGTGGTCGGTGCGGGGTGGGGTTGTCAATGGAGTTGTGCTTGAAAGTGGGTCAATTTCAAAAAAAAAAAAAAAAAAAAAAGAGGGCGAAACCCATCGACTTGAACCCTTTTCAAAAAGGCGCTGAGGGGAGGGGGTTCCAGCTCACCACCGAGCAGCGTCCAGTTGGAGGTAGAAAGTTGAGGGGAAAATGGCGAGACAGCGAGAGCGCGAGAGGAAAGCACAAAACTCGCAAAAAAGCAAGAAAAAAAAGAAAAAGCAAAAAAATCGTCCGCAACAAGACAACGCGCAAAGCAGAGCGACAGAGACACACACGAAAGGAGGACCCCTGCTGCACTGCGTATGGTGAGAGCGTTCGTCGGAATGTCGCTTTGTGCAAATGTGGATTTCCAACAAAATCGGAACAAAGAAAAACGAAAGTCACAAAAAACTTACCAAAAGACTGAAAAAAAAAAAATGAATAAAATAGAAAAAAAAAAAAAACGACTGAAAAATACAAAAATATCAAAAAAAACACGAAAAACAAAAAAACAACGCAATCGGATGATGTTTTATTGACCAATCAGAATGCAGCAGCCAGTTGAAACAGCGAATCAACGCAAAGTGAGTGTGACCCATTTGGAACGGAAGGCATGATTGAGTACATTGGAGAAGAATGCTGTGGCGAGTGAGGAGAGGAGGAAGCGGGAGGTGGTGGTGGGGGGGGGAGGGAAGGGGAAAGAGAAAGAGAGAAAGAACGAGTGAGATTTTGGCTGAATCTGCATTGGGAGCAAATGTTTTGATTTTGCGCGGGAAAAAGTCCAAGCAAATTTGGCTTCTGTTCGTTCTCTCTTTCTTTCTTGCTTTGCGTGGTTGAATTCGGTTGAGTTCGGGTCGTGGGTTACTTAAGAAGAGGGGGGGAGGGCTGTTCATTTCACTGTCGGCTGGCAGCGAGGCTTTGCTTTGGTTTGTTCAATCCAAACTCAATGATCGCTCAAACTGTTGTGTTTGTCTGCTGCTTTTTGTTACACCCTCAATCAACTGCAATCAACAGCGAAATGAGAGCAATGCAATGCGTTTCTACGTCCATCCATCCACTCACGAGCAGCTGGTGAATTGAAAAGTACTGCATTGAACAAGAAATGTACAAAAAGGAACGAAACACAATGAGCGTTATTATTATTATTATGAGGAAGCCCGTTGTGCGTTGGTGGTCAATCACTGCGATGGTGGCTGCGAGGCATGTGACGGCGGTGCTGCAAAAGTAGAGCTTGCTACTGATGGTGCTGCAGCAGTAGTGGAGGGAGAATGAACTGCTCCAGGTGTTGCAACAACAGCTGTTGCTGCTGTTGAAACGGCCGCTGGTAGTGATACCGAAACTCGCAGTCCTGGCACGGCAGCTGTGTTCGGAGCCGGTCGCCCCACTCCCGGAGAAAACACACCCCCTTGTCTCACCCACAGAACGCTTTGTTGTGGCTGTGCGCGCTGTGGCGGTTGAGCTTGTGGCTGTTGTTGTGGGTGTAGTGGTTGAACTTGTGGCTGTTCCTGCGGCTGTTGTGGCTGCTGTGGTGGCTGGACTGGGGCAGGGGATGGTGCCTGATGCGGGGCATCGGCTGCTGGCTGGAACATAAATACCGGCGATATTGGCGGGGGAATCGCTGGAACGACGGGCCCGGCTGGCGGTCGGATGACAAACCGGCCTGGAAACCCCATTTGACGCACTGCTGTTGGGCCGCCGCGGTGAAGGATGCGCACTTGTCGCGGGCGTTGCTCGGCAATCAGGCCAGACTCGACGCCGGGAATCTCAAAGCGGTTGTAAAAGAACAGCGTGACGTGGAGCGAAAAGAGCGCGCACACGACGAACGCGAGGTACGCAAAGGTGTACGGGCAAAGCAGCACGTAAGTGTAAAAGGCAAACTGGAAGAGTCCGATAAAGCGCGCCCAGTACATGAGCGATGTTCCACAGCGGATTCTGCACAAAGCGAACCGGGGGTGGGCGGAGGTTTAGGACAACAAATGAGCGACCAACTCCCCAAACGAGCATCCGACATTTGCACGCCTCATCTTTCAACACTCACGAGACGACAGAAAACAGTTGCAACAACCACAGCTGCAAGTAAACAAGGATGGCAAGTGCGTGGTCATCCAAAAAGTCGGCCAAGAAGTAAACCATGCCGACGAGGACCTGTCACGACGCAAAGCCAAGTGCAAGCCAAGTGCAAGTCAGATACAACGTCCTCGTGCCTCTCAAGACACGGACTGAATAGCAAGCCCAAACAAAAACTTACTAAAAACCACGCAGCAGTGTTGATACACTCGACAAGAAGTGCCCCAACTCGCACAGCATTGCTATTCTGTCGCACAATTGCTTCAGCGGCAACTACCCCGCGACGACGGATCAGCAACAAATCAAACACACTTTCTGAATCACACACAAAAAAAAGCCAAACAAAGACACAAAACTACGACGAACGTACCGGCCAACTGGAGCGCCCGGTTTTGCGCCTCTCTCAGCACCACACCCACGAGAACGGCGTTGGCGCCGACGAGAAAGACGGATGTAAGCGCAATGTCCACCTTTCCCACCCAGGTGCGGGCGTTCTGTGTCACGGTTTGCAGCATGGCCAAACTGTAGACTTCTCCGCTGTCCTCGTTGCACAGGTAACCTACGACCAACAAAAACAAGAGCCATTTCGTCAGTCAGTACACCTTCCAAAACGTCAACCTCTCTCTCTGTCTGCCCCCCCCCCGCCGGGAGCAAGACACACACCTGTGCCGTTTGACAGAACGGAAAAACTGTGCAGCAAAACACTCTCGTAGCCCGAAAAAGTGTCGAGCAGCAAATGCGTTCTCGCTCCGCCGAGACACGCGCTATCAACAGTAATGGAGATGGTAGAAATGTTGAGAGCGTGGCGGGCACTCTCGGAAAGTTGCAGGAAGCCGAGCTCGGGCGCAAACTCAAAGACGGATTGATCAAACGAGACGGAGGCCATCAGCTCGTCCACCCGTGCTTCAGTAAAGTGCTGGTGCCGCAGAGTGAACGCGGCAGAGTCCAGGTCTGCCGTGTCACCATAGTCCGCGCCAGCACGGAGCGAGGCATCGTCCGCAGCGGCAGTGGCTCGGCAAGTGCCTGCAATGTCGTCTGTCACCGACTGGGACGAGCACTGATTTGCCGTGTTCTGATTCGAGCTCGTGCTGTTGTCATCGTCATCATCGCCATCGCCATCGCCATTGTCGTCGTCATCATCGTCATCGTCGTCGTCAACGACGACAGCAGCGTTGTCATTGTGAGTCGTATCCTCTGCTGCACGGCGAATCTGACGCTCAGTCAGCCCCAACGCCGAAATGAGACGAACTGGCGATCTGGCGCCAATGATATCGAGCATTGCGTGCGCCAGAATGGACAGACGCCATGGCTTGGACGGCGGGCGAGCCTCGCTGTCGTCGTCGGGATTCTTGTCCGGATGGGTGTCGTCGTCGATGGCTTCCGGGTCAAAGTATGCATGCAATGCATATGCCAGCTCTGGAAAGATGGCCGGGAAGAGCGCCCGAATCGCGTGAATGTTTTCGTGTTGCGGCCGACGGATGGATCCGAGTCGGCTTGACGCTGTTGACCGACTCGATGCCTGCTGCTGCGCTGCAGCGTCGTGCAGACTCTCGTCCGTGGCCTCGTGTTCTTGAGGATGTTCTGGCTGAGCAGTCTGAGCAGTCTGAGCGGTTTCTGTCGCTGATCGAGGCGTTTTGCCAGTCTTGGTGACTGTTCCGGGCGTTCGCTGCGCCGCTCGATCTGACAATGGATCTGCTGGTAATCGAAGCAGCGTCTGTCTGACAATGGCCTTGATTGGCGACTCGACAGTGACTCGTACGACCTGTTTTTGTTTTCGTCACCAAATGTTGTAAACATCAGTTCGTTTCTCAGAATTCGCGGATTTTTCCCAGTTTTCAAATCAAAGGCATAATTGATTCAATGCATTCTGCGCAACTCGCTTCGCCAGAGCTTCCTCACCTGGAATGGCGGCGGCGCAGTGACGGGCGGCTCAATGGGTTTGGCTGCAAGTGGCTGGCCGAGCACGAACGCGGCGTCCGCCAGCTGCAGCGTCATATCCGACTGGCCAGTTGTACTTGCATCTGCGTTCTGATACTCGCCGTGTGCGTTGAGCGGCGGCGGCGGCAGTGGCGGACTGGCTGGAGCGAGATTGAGCGGCAATGCATTCGCAGCGCTGAGCCGTAACGCAAGGCAGCGATGCCCAGCCAGCTGCAGACCATCATCATCACCGCCATCACTAGGACTGTCATGCTTGTCATGATAGGCGTGAAGTGGAGGAGGGACGAATCGCGAGTGCAGCTGGACCAGCGTCGACAGGAGCAGCACTGCAGCGAGCAGCACGAACGACTCGACCAGCAGCCGCGACCGGGGCGTCGGAAGCACTGCCCGGTAGTAATGCATGAGCTGAACATGCATGCGGAAGAAGCCGTCCACGGGTCTGTTGATTGGGAAGGCGTCCATGGGTTTTGAAGTCCCAATCGTGAAAACGCCTGCTTTGGTGCTTTTTGGTGTATGGATTGGAAAGAAGGAGGAGTGCGCGCGCAAAAAAATGGTGCGAACATTCTCAGACAAGACAGGATAAGGGGGTAACCAGGGAATATACCAGGTCTATTGGTGGAAGAGAAGGACAGCAACAAAACAACAACAACAACAACAACAACAGCCAACAACAAAAAGTTGAAACGCTTCAAGCGGATGGCTTTTCAGCACGGGACTTTTGAATCTGTGGTCGCAGAACAAACAGAGCAGAGAAGGGGTGAGCATTTCACTACGATTGTCGCTCAACCACCACCAACTTGATGCTTTTTACCAAAACAGCCTTGGTACGCTCCAACGCCGCATCGAGCTCGCGCAGGAGCAGCGTGAGCTTGTCTGTCGAAAGCATGTCGAGGTCGTGCCCCAATAGCTGCTGCCGCGTTAGCGATTCAACAACAGATTGGCTGTACGGAATGGGCAGCTTGGGCGGGCCGTCAGAGACAGTCTTGTCCTTCCGCGGCGGCAGCGGAGGCTGGACGTAGATTGGATTCGGATTCGCTCCAATAGCCACGCTGCCAGCAGCAGGAGCAGCAGCGGGCGGGGGCGGAGGCGAGGTCAGGCGCGGCGAACGGGTCCGCTCGGGAATCGCAGGAGGCTGGTCGAGGTTGGAGGCCGTTTCGTCAAAGACAATGGCGGCCCGGTTGTTTCCCGACCCTGCTGCAGATGGCTTTGGTGCAGCAAGGACGGCGTGATTCTTTTGTGGCACCTGGTACTCTGCAGAGACGGCAGGCTTGGCCGATGTCGGCGGCGCCACTGCTTCGGGAGCATCGCCGGGACGCGGAGGCAGCTTTGGTCGCGAGTCCGAGGGCTGGGCATACAGGGCCGAGGCCGCTGTTCCCGCGGACGAAGCCGACAACGCGTCCGACACGACGGCATAGTCGGAGGACTTGACCGGAGCGGGGAGCGTGCCTTTGTGGCTCTCGTTCTCGCGGGTTGAGAGCATGATCGAGACAAACAGGGAATCGTTCTTCTGAGGGGCGGGGGTTTCTTCGCCTGAGCGTTTAGGATTGAGGGGTCGAGGCAGAGTGAGGAAACAAGCGTGAATCTCGAATGCAATAGAAAAAAACCCCAAGAAAACAAACCAAACTCGCTCCAACACATACCTTCAGCAAGCGACCTCATCTTGAGAGAATACGGCTTGCCAACCTGATGCTCAAGCCGGTGAAGCACACACTGGTACTGGCCATCAGCGACTGGCAGGAGCTTTTGTGAATGAGGGTCGCGGTGGTTCAACGGCAAGAAGCAGTATCCGACCGTCAAGCCGCTCGTCTTGAATTTATCTGTGTGCGCCATGTGCGGAACAAAAGGACATCAAAGGCAATCAAAATGCATGGTGATCAGAAGACCAAAGAATCAAGAAAATCAACGCAAAACAACTTTTCACACAAACAAAACATACCTCGCTCAGAGCAGTCTCGCACGACCATCAGCAAGTGCGTTCGCTTGTATTCAATGACAGGAATGCTTGCACGGAATGTCTCGTGCCATGCTGGATGCAACGTGCTCGAATACACGACGCTCTTGTACGTGGCATCGGTCGGAAGGAATCGCGAGTTGGGGCTCGGATCGCCTGTCTCGCGGAGCAGGTGGAATGTCACCTCGACACCACGACGCAAGTCATCGCTGTGGAAATCGCCGCGAAGGAGAGACACGTAGAGTTCGTTGGTCGGCGGTCGGGGGTCGTGCGAGGCGAGCACCAAGGCAGCCGTCTGCCCACTGACGGCAATGTTCGGCGGTGGGTGGAAGGGAGAGCGGTACGCAACGTGGCCAATGCAGTGGACCAGCTGGATCTTGCCGCCCAGCATGTCCGTCTTGTGGTCTTGCATGACAGCGGCGGATTCGCCCTTGAACAGCTGGAGGGTGGCGAGGACAAAGCCGTCGCCGTGCACAGGAGCCTTGTGGGCCTGGCGCACCGTGCCTTGGACCGAGGCCGACATGCCCACGTTGCCGAGAGTGGTGCCGCCAGCCGTGTCCGTTTCGGACGCTGCCGACGGAAACTTTGACTTTTTGCAAATCGAAGCGGGCGTCTGCATAAACTCCTTGTCCTTGCCGCAGAGATGGATGGCCAAGGTGAACGAGTTTCCAGAGTGGTCGCGCTGGGCCTTGACGACTTCCGACAGCGGGATGGTGGCCATACCGAACGGCTTGCGAATGGCGGGTCCGTCGCACGTGTTCACCAGCTTGACAATCTTGCACAGCAGCCACGTGTGGCGTGTCCAAAAGAGGTCATTCACTGGTGCGTTGGTGATGTACTGACGGAAGGAAAAAAACAAACGAAAGTGATGATGGGTGAGAGAAGAGCTGGAATTCGCTTTGTCACAAGCACAGTGTGTGAAACAACAACACCCTTACCGAAAACAAAGCCGCCGTGCGGTCTCGGCTCGGCATGCCCAGGCTAGTGAGGGGAAGCATGAACGGCTCGGTGAAGACAACGTTGCGCTGCTTGTCGTAGAGCGAAAAGTAGATTTCGCAGTCCGTTCCGACCGCACAAACAAGCGCCTCGAATTGGAACAAGAGGTGAAAGTTGAACTGTCGACAAAGAAGACAAGAAGACAAGAGAAAAAAAGGTGAGAGAGACCCTCGGCAAAGTACAACCACTCTTGGCCAGACAAAACAAACAAAAAAAAAAAAAAAAACACGGAATCAATCGTGGGCAGCCGCTCCATCGAGCCATGCGACGAGAGCGCCTCGCGGGAAGCGCTGTGGTCACCCTTGCCGTAGGTGCGCTTAATGTTCTGCTTGATGGCATCCAGCACACCGCGTTTATCGGCAGCCTCAACCGCGTGCTTGAGGCGACGCTGCTTGAGGGTGCGGACGCATGCTTCCGTGAAGCACTCGTCAATGTGCTTGTTGGTGGCAATGTTAATGTCCAGGAAGGGCACGCACAGGGCTTCGCTGACAATGGGGTTGGTGAGCGCACCGTCGCGCACGTTGCCCACCACAATGATGGGGATGTCTTCGTCGTCCTCCTTGACGGCGTTGATGCGGTTGCGGTATGCCACCACGTTCGGGAAGGATCCTCGGACGACGTCCCGAGCCACGACCAAGAACGCGTCTGCTTGTCGGATGGCCTATAGTAGTGACAGCAAGAGCCAAGTCATCGTGAGAGTGAGAAAGAAAAGTTCGAGGCGCATTGCGAATGAGCAAGGTTGATCTTGGCGGATTTTCTGTTTTCTTCTTCGACTGTTCTCTTTGTAACTTCCAATATCACAGTTAGTGCTTCATCACCGACGCGAATGAGCAAGTTTGATCTTGGCGAATATGTTGAGATGTAGCTTTTCTTTTTTCTGTTTTTCTTCTTCGACCGTTCTCTTTGTCACTTCCAATATCACCGTTCGTGCTTCATCACCGACATCTTTAGTGTCCTAGGTCTCGGTCATCATCATCTTTATCATATTTCTGTGATGATCTCGCTCGGTCATCTTCCTTTTTTGTTTCGTTTCCCTCTTTTCTGCTCTTCCTTCGCTGCTTCCAATGCCCACAGTCTGTGCTTCATCATCCATCATCATTATCATCATCAACTTTATCAATCTGTGATGGTGATCGCGAGGGACCATCCGTCGTTCGATGCCGTCGACTTGAACCTTACCGCAATGTCGACCTCTTCGGCCTTGTTGGACTGGTCTGCGGTCTCGACGACCTCGACGAGGCACGTTTCGCCCTCGATCTTGACGTGCTTCTTGTGCGAGTGGCTGCCTGCATTCGAGAACGACGCTGCGCCAGAGTACAAGGGGCAAGGACGAAGGTCAGTGAATACATTTTGAATTTGGTGAAGCAGTCAAGTGAAGTGTTGATGACAAACCCCCCCACCCCCTCCACTTCCAGCAAACTCACACTCGCAACACACATGCAGACACATAGACACATGTATTGAAGGGAGTGGAAGAGAGTGGGAGAGTGGAACAATGCAATCCAATGGCCAATCCAAAAATGCAATGGAATCTCAAACAAACGGTAAGCCCGCTGCTACCACCGCACACCACACCACACACACGCGCTGATGGAGCTGTTTGTTTGATTGAAGTGCAATCAGCAATGAATAAAAAGCGGGATGGGGAGCGGGGGGCGCGGTATTACCGAGCTTCAGGTAGGCCGCAGCGAGCTCTTTGCGCAGCTTTGGATCGCCCAGCAGCAGCACGCGCTAAGAGTGTCATAAAGTGAGTCATCATGTCATGTCAAGTGAGTCATCCCCACCCCACAAGTCCAAAGTTGAAAAGCATGCTGGTTTTTAATGCATCCGTCAGATCAGTCGTTATCAATGGGTGCGTTACAATGGATTGCGACATGGAAGAAACAAAGAAAAAGACTGAGAATCAGAGTTACTTCTGAGAAACAGAGTCAAAAGGCAAGAGGAAATACAATAAAATGGGAAATCATTGAGATTACGCAGAATAGGTAACGTGCGTTTGGGAAAAGAGGATGAAAGGTGATCGATGAATGATTGCAATTTTGTACTGTACAACATGGAGACCAGGGTCTTCAACAAGGCGTAAGGATGCAATTGCGAGACCCACAAGCTATCAACATTGACAGAGTTGGGCGATCCGTGGCAAGCTTCCAGCAAAAAAGTCCAACTCCTCGCGTTCAACTGAACTTGCATCTCTACCAAACCGTGGTGATTGCTTCCCCTTGACATCGCTGGCATTGATCACTCGCTATCAAAACTCGCCGATCGAGGGACACGATGGGTGCGCTTCTTCCCTTGGGATGCAATCGCTTGGGCAATGCTGATTTTGGCGGCGACCTTTTGGCGCGGCGAGGCCTTCTTTAATGCTTTGACATCCTCACTGCCAGCTACACTTGATGCTTGTGCTGAGTGATGATCGGACGCCTTGCCGGTTGGGGAAAAGTTAAACCAGAGCACCTTGGCTTGCTCCTTTGCGGGAATGTGATCGGTCTCGTCAAACTCGACGCCCTCAGCCTGCAGAAAGTCCTTCTTGCAGCAGATGCGCTTTCCTTGTCCCCATTGTCTACAGGGAGACGTTGGGACAGAGTGGAAGCGCGTTCGTCAGTAACTGGTCGAACTGGAGAACAAAACGACTTGAAAATCAGTATGAATCGCGACAACTCACCCGGAGAAGCCTCCGACAAACAAGGACGAATCCAAGACGCGATGGCAAGGCACGTAGGGGGCAAACGGGTTGTTGCGCAATGCTTGTCCGACTACAGCGAGGAAGGAAAGCGAAGCGTGTAAGTGAGTCAGTTGTTTCAATCGCGAAGGGAAACGTCCATGACCATGCTGCGATGGTCGATCTCTCTGGATTCGTAGAGACACGCAAGTTCCATCCTGCACATTGAGGCAGGGGACACCAGCGGCGGGGGTGATTGCATGCGACGAACATGCAACCAACTCGCATTTCCCGCCATTTCGCTTCTGGCTTCGATTGGGATGCTCGCCACGCTGCACAACCATATCCATTCGACACATGCACCACTGTCGTTTTTTGAAACAGCTCTGCGATGATGTGGCTCGAAGCAAAACAAAACGCTTTTGCGTTTGTTTGGGTTACCTGCGCGAGGTGCGGACGCGAGGTACTTTGCAATGTGGCCGTACGTCGTGATGCGGCCCTTGGGCACTTGCAGAATGGCGTCGTACACTGCAAAGCGGAATGGCGAGACGCGGTGCGCCCATCGGAGGCGAGCGGCGGCGGTCGTCGGGTACGCGGTCGGGTCGTGCACACTCGGCGGCATCCACTCGTCGTCGGTCACATTTGGGTTGTTGACGATGGCGAGTGTGGGGACGCTCGTCAGATGTGGTGCAGATGCTGGTTGCACTGCGGGTGAAGTGGTATCAGCGAGTGATTCGGAATTCATGGCAAAGCAACAAGAAAAAAAAAAGCCCGCGAAAAACTCAGACTGAGCCAAACATTGGAAATGGAAACTGGCTGTTTTCGGTGATCGGGGTCACATCACAAGTGGTCCGTACGTGTATGTGATTGCATGTGATTGTATTGTGTTCTTGTATGTGTGGCTGAAACTGGCTTTTGATCGAGCTCTTTTGTTCTTTCAATCACTCGCTCACTCTCCACCAAACTCTCAGCAATACTCAGTCACTCTAATCTGAGTGTTTGCCCTTTTGATCCCCCTTCCCCTCTTACCTTCCCCCCCTCCCCCTCTCTCTCTTTCAAAGTGCTCCTTTTTCATTTCATTCCCCATTTGTTCTAAGTTTTTTCCCGCCAAAATTTCCCCTTCCCATTCATCATCGTCTTGTGATCCAAGTTCCCCGCTCGCTCTCGTACCCCCACTCACTCCTGACCACTCCTCCGAACAAAACCCACCACAGCGACAGAGCAGCACATCATGATGCCGATACTGCCGCCGCCAATGCCCGCGCGACTGCTGCCGCTCAAGTGGACGGTCGACAACGCGGCAGAGTTTACGCACGCACTGCTCCCGCCGTCCGTCCGCGTCGCTGGGCGGCAGCAAGGCGAGCGCTCCGGCAGCATGGACAGCGGCGATCTGCTTGCAGCGTCCACAGTGTCCACGGCGTCGACCTCCAGCGCGGCCAGCGTCACCCTCCAGGAGGCCCATGCTGCGAGCGTCGCTGCGGTCGGACTGAGCGAGGCGCTCGTTCTCACGCGCCAGCAGCTGATGGCGTCGTCCTCGTCCTCGTCCTCGTCGTCGATGCACCATGATAACCATGCGAGTCTCAAGACGTCGTCGTTGGCTGCGTCAGGGGGCGCTCCGGGATGTCTGTTCCCGGGTCCGCCGGCGTCGTTCGCCCGCGAGATTGCAGAGCTGCTCAGATGGAACAATAGCCACCAAGCGATGGCTTCTGGCGACCTGCGATCAAGCTTCCAAGTTCATAGCAATCGAAGCTCTGGTGGTAGTGGTGGTACTGCTGCTGGTGGTGGTGCTGGGACGACGGCGTTGAATCCGAGTAGCCGCGTCGGGAGCGTTGACGAGTTGCTTGGCGCGTCGGCGGAGGCAAACAACGAGCTCATGCAGCAGGCAGCGCGATCAAGTTGGGTTTCTCGAGTGTTTGGCAGTTGCTGCGGCTGCTGTCGAGGCCGCACCCACCCTGGCGGACTCGAGGACGACGCCGGCGACCGATCAGACTCGGTGAGCAGCGGAGGTGGAAAGCGCAACTCCTCCTCCCGCTTTCGCCGTCCGCTGGGATCTGTTTCGACCGGTGCGCAGCTGAATCTGGATCGTCTGTCGCACGAGGACATCCACCGGCGGGTTCAAGAGTATGTTGCCCTCTTGCTCGGCCTCGTGTTTGATCTGCGAGTCGTGCCAGACGCGCACGCCTTCCGTGCCTTGATTCAAGGGGCTGGATCATCTTCGCCACAGCTCTTTGGGGCTTCTGCATCCTCCTCGCGTGCGTCACTAGCCAAGGCTGCCCTCACCGTCAGCGCACAGAGCAATGTGAGTGCAAACATTCAGCCCTCCCCGCTAGCCACAAAGACGCTGGAATTCACCTGGTCGAGCACGCTGCTTCCGGGGCAGTACTTTTCCATCAGCGATGCGACGCTGGAGCTGGCATCCGTTCTTGTGAACGAAGGCTTGTTGCTGGTCGAACTCGCGCACAACTTGGAAACACGGCGTCGCGAGCAACTGCAAGTGTCGCCACCCTCGACGCCACAGATGCGCCAACGAGTCCAGCTTGTCAATTCCAGTCCTCCTAGCGCTCCAAGTAGTGGTGGGAATACAGTACAGGCCGCCAATCCCGCGCAGTCCAGCAGCCCAAAGTCCAGTCACGCTGGTCGATCCCTGCACGTCCCTGCAGCTGGAGCCTCGCCAGCGCAGTCCGCGCTCGTCCAAGCAGCATCTGCCTTCGATTTTGTCCGAACGCAGCTCGTGCCACGACTACAAGCGACGCGAGGTGGAAACTTGTTTTCGCAATTTCCAGAGCTATCGTCGGAAGTCTTGTTTGCTCTTCGATTCCAATGCATTGCAGAACAAGCGGAACTCGCCATCGGCGAGCTATTGGAGGGCGCTCTTGGCACGGGAGCTGCCGGAGACGGTGCGCTCTCCAGTGTTCGCGTCGACCTTGCGCTTCCGTTGGCAATTGTCGCGTCTGGACAGTACCAAGCAGCGCACGACGGCTTGGCCAAGTTTGTCGCCGCTGATGAGCGAGCTGCTCCGCAGCTTGTGCGCTGGCTCGCGCATCTGCGTGCTCGTATGGCCTTCACCATTGCGCTCGCGTATCTGCTGCAAAGCCTCAAGCACGCATCGGCCGAGCGGGTTGGTCTTGCCATCAAATGCGCGGATCATGCGCTGCTTCTCTTGGACGCATTGGCTCCCGCCGACAGCAGTGCCACACAGAGCCAAGCGGATGGCAACAGCTCCAAATCCAAAGGCCTGAACAACCGACGCGCAGCCCCAAGTCTTATTCGCCAACTGGACTTTGGCTCTACGCAATCGCAGCCGTCATCCCAGCAACGCTCAGTGCAACAGCAACAACAGCAACAGCAGCAGTACCAGGCTCAAGGCTTGGCCGCTTGGCAGCATCTCATTACGCTGATGCGCACCGAGCTCGAGACGAACTTGGTCAAGTGGAGGCGTGACAACGAGTTTATCTTTTTCCAGCCAGTCCCACCAGAGACCCCCGAGCTTGAACCACCGCCCATGAGCGCGCTTCCTGCATATATTGTGGTCAACGTTCCCGTTTACAACCTGCCCGACCCTGACGAGCGATGGTTTGCTCCGCATGTGTATTCCATTTTCGTCGATGGCAGTCGGGTTTACTTTTCCCCCGAGGCGAGGCGCGCGGGTTCAGCAGCCTCGGTCACGTCGTCTGGCAGCTTTTTGGAACGCTTTCTGCGACGCTCGTCGAGCCATGGCACTCGCGCCAAGGCAAACCCGCAGTCGACGCGGTTGGCTCCCCGGTGAACAGCGTGGTTGTTCTTGTTGTGTTTGTTTGTTTGTTTGTTCGTTTTGTGCCTCACGCTCGTTTTCGCAAATGCAAATCGTCACTCAATCCTATCCCTCTCAACATCCTTTGCTGTCTTGCTGCTAGTTTTTGCTTTATTGTTTAATAACTTGTTTTCCAAGAATGGTAAAACTCAAACAAACCCAAAAATTCTGCACGACAACACACCACACGATCAAGGCTTGGGAGGCAACGTTGGTTTGGTCGGCTTGCTTGGCGCGCACGGTTCGACATAGGTGCCAGGGCAAACACCGACCATGTTGGTTCGCAAACTGCGAGCAGTGTACCAACCATCGGCAGCCTTATCCGTCACATAGACGACATCGCCCACAACCAATTCCAGCTCATCATGGCTCTGCGGCGTGTACGCATAAATGGCCCGATGCGAATCGCCCGTTGGCACCTGCCGTGGAGCAGGGGCTGGTCTCGCTGGCTTGACCGGAAGAGCCTTTGAGACAGCTTGCGCAGGCATTGATTCCTGCTCGTGATCCGGCTGGCGACTTTCCAGGATGAACTCGGCGCTGCCAGACATTGCCAGTTGGTCGCCAGCCGATCTGGCAAACTTGCGACCGTGATCGTAGCTGGAGCGCTGCGCTCCTCTTCGCCGCCGAAGAACCACCGCAACCACAACAACCATCAACACCAGCGCAAGCACGCCTCCAACCGCCGCCCCGGCAATCAATCCAGTGTTGCTGGAGCTGGACGGCGAGGGATGGGAGTCATCCACGACGGTCGAGCTAGCAGCGATCGAAATAGGGCGCGTCGCGGCGGTGGTGGCAGTGGCGCGCTTGCTGCTCGCAACGACCGTGCTTTTGCTGGATGCACTGGTGACACGCTTGCTAGATGTACTGGCGACGCGCTTGCTAGACGTACTGACAACGCGTGTGCTCGATGTTGCCTTGATGCTAGCCGTCGCCACGGACGGCCTGACGCTGCTTGTGGCGCACTCATTCCCACAAACATCCGTGCCGTTGCAGTATCCACACGAGTCGTAGTGGCCAAAGCAGTACGAGCCAAGCACGGTCGCGCTTTGCCGATCTTGCGACATGAGCTGCGTCCAGTACGCAACAAAGCACGGATCTTCAAACGCCAAACCCCACTCGCGGTTGGCAGAGGTGGACTTTGGCTTGAGCGTAATGGAGGTGCCCGACCAGTTGCCACTGTAAATAAAGACAATCTTGCGGTTGATCATCCAGAACTTGGAGTGCTGAAAGTTCAAGTCGCTGCGGCTCTTGTAGACGTCGATGCCCGCCGCAGCGAGCTTTGCCTGGTTGGCCGTGGTGGCCGAATCAGCGCCCGCCCTGTATCGCGACATGATGATGGTTTGATCGAGCCAGGGCGCGTTCGTCTTCATGCTGATGAGCCGGTCGGTCAGGTCGTTGATGGTGAGTTGGTACATTTCCGCATGAAACGTCTCGTTGGCTGCCGCCCACCAGTTTGTAATGAACGGGTACGAGTTGTCCGGGTTGAGGAAGGCGGTGACTTGCACATTGTCGAGCGTAAAGACTGGCGCCGCAGTGTACGGATCGTCCACGGCCGGCGTGTAGGTGGTGCTGACGCCGGACGCTGCCGTGATGGTGTCATTCCCATTCGCCCAGTCAAACTCGAACGCCGCTGTAAAGTACGCGGCAATCTCCTCGCTCTCGACAATGACGCCCGCCTCGCGGTTTTGGCGGATTGAGTTGGCCGACCAGTTGATGGAGCTGACCGCGACGACTCTTCCGTCGACGACAATTCCCTTGTTATGGTCGTAGCAGTCCTCGTGCATGTACTTGACTTGGATGCCGACCGCCTTCAGGAACGGGGCTGCGAAGTCGTCGCCGGCGCCAGTGTCTCCGAGCGCGTCCACAATGACCCGCACAGCCACACCCCGCTGCTTGGCTTCGTAGAGCCCCTGCATCAGCGGATTGCCGTCCAGCAGCCACGGCTGGGACGAGGCGTACTTTTGAATGTACTGCTGCTGGACGAGCAGCGTCGTGTTGGCCGAGCGCAGCAGCTGTCGCAGGTAGTAATGCGAGTTGTCGGGCGCGAGAATCGGCCGCACGCGCATCCTGCTCGCAGTCACGCTCAGCGGCTGCACGCTGCCGTCGACATAGTCGGACGTCGTGGGCTGCGCGTGCCACCCCGCGGCGACGAGCGCGAGCGCAACGAGGCCCGCCAGCAGGGAGCCAGCAGGGGTTCGAGCCGCAGACCGCCGAGTCGCACAGCGCTTCTTCTTGGCAGCCTTGGACCGAGCCGCCATCACTTGCTCATCAGATGATGCCTGTGATGGTAATGTTGAGAGTGATGCCGGTCGCGTTGAGTGACGCATGCGTTTGCGTGTTGTCACAGCGTGGGATTTGTTGTAAATGAATGAGGGTTTTTTGGCAATCTCCGACACGAAATAGGCAAAGTCCAAATGGAAAGCTCAGCCACTCGGAAACTCAGACACAGACACGCTCGGAATGAATGAGTGAATTGAACGACAAACAATCAGCTTGGAAATAATCAAAGGAAGGAAATAATGAAGGAAAGAAAGAAAGAAAGAAAGAGCGAAGATGGGAAAAGTAGAGTGAAAAAAACAAGTTAGGATCAGAAATGACCTTCCATACAAAGCAAGTCAAAGCTAAAGTAAAAAAAAAAAAAGCAGTTGCATTGAGTAAAAAGCGTGGGAAAAAAGCGAGAGAGTGAATCACAACACGAAACACGAAACACGAAGGAAGCATGGGTGGATGGGAATAAGATTCGGAAAAGTGCGCTCGTTTCGCCTTCCTTCTCTTTTGCTCAGTCTATCAACAGTGTGAGCACCGAGGATGAAAGCAACTTAAACCATTTTGTTTTCAATAAAAAGACAACCAAAGAACAAAAAAACACTCATAAAAAACCAATAGCGAGCTTTTGTCGGGGAACGATTTCATCTACTTCAGTCCAAGCAAGAGATTGAATGCGTCAACAAAGGCATCGCGCGTCGCAGCCGACTCGGCCTCGAGATCCAGCGTGCGGTCCTTGCAGATGAACGAGAATGCTCGGCCTGCATCTTTCTCTACACAAATCACAAAAGCAGAACAGTGAGCGAAATTCCAACCAAAACCTGACAAACTTTGGTCCACTTCGATTGTTTCATTCCCAAAAAAATCTTCCTACCTTTGCCGGAACGCTCAAACACTTTCGTATTGTGCCCGAGAAGAATCTTGTAAATCTCATGCAGCGCCACGGTCTCCATGTCCTTGTCCTTCTTCTTCTTGTCGTCGGTCATCTGCTTCGGATCGGTCCAGACGAGCTTGCCAGTCTTGCAGCTTGCTGCGCTCGACTCAAACTCGACATAGACATATCGAGAGTGGGGGTTGCCCGAACGGCCGTGCTTTTTGAAAATGTCGCCTGCGCAACACGAATGCACAGTGAGTTCAATGCAAGTCCCCCTCAACAACGACAACGACAAAGATGATGGGCCCTACCTTTGCTCAGCAGCTTGTGGGCACGCTCTTCAGGGGACAGTGCGGATGTGCTCGAAGGCGAGGGTGATGGTGGCACCGCCGCCGTGGTCGCGGCAGCAGCAGCAGCATGTGCCGAAATATCCGCAACGGACGAAGTGTTGCTGCGCGAGGGAGACGCAGGAGTCAAATCCGTAGTGGACGCAGTGGTGGAAGTGGCCTTGCTGGCAGGCGAAGACACGGCAGCCGAGCTCGTGGAAGCGGTAACGCCAAGGCCGCCATAAACGCTGCCACGGTTCACTTGGGCCTCACGCATGGCAGCCGCTGCGACAGCCAGGCTCTCGGCCGCACGTTGCTCGCGCTCAGCCTTCTCCTTGGCCTCACGCTTGGCGCGCTCGTCGCTTTCCTTCTGCCAGCGTTGCATTTCAGCCTCGCGCTCGAGCAAATCTTGGCGACGCTGTTCCTCCTCACGCGCAGCCTCTTGCTCGCGGGCGAGCTTCTCCGCCTCCTCCTTTGCCTTCTTGTCGGCAGCGGCCTGAGCCTTGCGCGCTGCTTCTGCTTGTGCCTTTTGCTCGGCTTCTTCAAGAGCCCTTTGAGCAGCCTCCTCCTTGGCCTTGCGCGCGGCTGCCTCCTTCTCGGCGGCTTCGATTGCCTTGCGGGCAGCTTCGTCCTTGGCCTTGCGTTCGGCTTCCTCTCTGGCCTGGCGCTCAGCCTCCTGCTTGGCCTGGCGCTCGGCCTCTTGCTTGGCCTTCTTCTCGGCAAGTTTTCGCTCAAACTCGAGCTTGGCTTGGCGCTCCTCCTCCTCGAATTGCAACCGTGCCTCTTCCTCCTCGCGCGCGTGACGCTCGGCTTCCTCACGGCGCTCGGCCTCCTCTTGAGCCAGGCGCTCCTCTTCCTCACGATCTGCAGCCAGGCGGGCTTGTCGTGCAGCTTCCTCAGCCTCTTCTTCGGCGAGTCGCTCGGCCTCAAGTCGCTCGGCCTCAAGTCGCTCGGCCTCAAGTCGCTCGGCTTCCTCTTGCTCTTCTTGCGCTTTTCGGGCGGCCAATGCTTCTGCCTCTTGCTGAGCCTTGCGAGCAGCGTCTTCCTTGGCCTTGCGAGCGGCAGCTTCCTTTTCGGCAGCTTCGATTGCCTTGCGGGCGGCTTCGTCCTTTGCCTTGCGCTCGGCTTCTTCCTTGGCCTTGCGTTCGGCTTCCTCTTTGGCCTTCTTTTCAGCCTCAGCCTTGGCCTTGCGGTCGGCTTCTTCCTTGGCCTTGCGGTCGGCTTCTTCCTTGGCCTTCTTCTCGGCTTCAGCTTTGGCCTTCTTGTCAGCCTCCTCCTTGGCCTTCTTGTCAGCCTCCTCCTTGGCCTTCTTGTCAGCTTCCTCCTTGGCTTTTTTCTCAGCCTCGGCCTTGGCCCTGCGCTCCGCAGCCTCCTTGGCCTGTGCCGCCATGCGAGCAGCCTCCTCCTTGGCACGGAGAGCAGCGGCTTCTTCCTTGGCCTTCTTCTCGGCCTTCTCGCGAGCCTTGCGGTCAAACTCTTCCTTGGCGCGACGTTCCTCCTCCTCGTGAGCAAGGCGGGCTTCCTCCTCTTCGCGCTCGGCGGCCTCACGAGCCAGCCGATCAGCTTCGGATTCACCCTCTTCCGCTTCCTCGTCCTCGTTCTCATCGTCGTCGTCGTCGTCGTCGTCGTCGTCATCGTCGTCGTCGTTATCGTCGTCGTCGTCGTCGTTGTCGTCGTCGCTCGACCCTTCACTGCCGCTCGAGGCGCTCTTCTGGGCCGCCTTGACGGGGGAGGACTTGGTGTCGTCGTCGCTATCGCTCAAGTCGGCGAACGGGCTCTTGCCATGACGAGCCGGAGTGCTGGTGGCGGACGAGGCTGCAGGCAGGTCATCGCTCTCAACAAACGTCGGCGACATTTGCGATCCTCGTGCAATGGCAGCGCGAGCAGCTGCAGACGACAGACGGCTGGGTTTGGTCGGCGGAACGCGCGAGACGGGGCTGACAGCAAGGCTGCCTTCGTCATCGTCATCCTGCTCGTCATCGTCATCTCCGTGATCGTGAGCACCCTTGGATTCGCCATCCGACAGATCGCCGGCATCAGAGGCTGATCGCCTGGGCTTGGGCGGCGGCGGCGTGCGTGTAGCGGTGCGAGGGCTTTCTTGACGACTGAATGGCGAGCCGTCCTCGTCGTGCTGGTCGTCTTCCTCTTCATCGTCTTTCGTGGTGTCGTTGTCTGAGGAGTGGTCTTCCGCATCGCTGTGGTTGCTGTTGTTGCCCGGAGCAGGACGACGCGCTGGAACAGGAGGCGCGCTCTCGTAAATCGATCGCTTTGGTCGGTTGTCGGGGAAGACGCCGCGGTAGCGGACATCGCCCAGATCGTTATCGTCCTGATTCGCCTCAAAGGGATTGACTTCCTTTGCGTCTTCTTCCTCCTCCTCCGATTCGGCTGCTGGTGGCTCGGGCTCTGGAGCTGGTGGCTCTTCTTTGGGAGGAGCTGGCGGGCGCGGCTTGAGCTGGGTAGCGCCTCGCGTGCCGTCGTTGCCGATCGGGAGGGGTTTGGTGTCGCGCTTGACGGACGACGTTTGCAGCGAATCAAACCGCGACATGATTTCGAGCAAGGTGATTTTGCGCTCAATCAGAAAGTTGAGACGGGCAGTCTCCTTCTTGTTCAGCTTCTTTTTGCCTGAGAGCGTCTCCGCCTCTCGGTTGATGGCGACCAGCTCGAGGATGGCCTTTTGCTGGTTGTCTTGCTGGACGGCAAACTCTTCCGCCGAGATTACATTTTGGCTGCCCGCGCCACTACCGCCGCTCGCCGAGGCAGCGGGAAGGGGCTCTGCTGCAGCGTTTTTGGCAGCAGCAAGTTGTGGTGTGCCCGGTTTAGACATGGTCGAGAGCGAGAGATTCAGTGGGATCCCAATTGGCTTTTTTTTGTTTTGATGTGTCTTCCAATGCAATGCAAAAGCAGGCTTGCACTCCGATTGAATTTCGGATCAGATGCCTGTCAAATAACAAAGCCAAGCAAAGGCGAAAAACAACAAAAAGTGAGACGTGAGACAGGTGGAAATCTGAGAATGAAAAATCCAACAAAAACGGGGACTTTTCGCTCCAATCCCACTGCATTTTGTCATCGAATAACACTGTTGCGTTCAATCAAAGTGTGCTGTTTCGTCGTTCCACTCAAACCCAAAAACCAAAGCAAAGCAACAAAACTAAAATCCTGGCATCGAACCTGGCTTTGAATTATTATTATTGACCATTTTGAATAAAACCGCGAACTCAAACCAAAAAACCAAACCAAAGTGCAATGCTGCGAAATCACAGCCAGAACTGCAGAATGGCGAATGGCGAATGGCGGGGGGTTTCCGCTCTTGTGCTTGTGCGCATTCGTTGTTCATGGCTTGGGCAGAAGGAAGAGTTGAGCGTATCAATGTGCTCTCAACCATCAACCCCGCAGACGATGATCGCCAAAAAAAAAAAAAAAAAAAAAAAAAAAAAAAAAAAAAAAAAAAAAAAAAAAAAAAGAAAAGTACAGCGACGTAAAAAAAAAAAGAAAAAAAAAAAAAGAAAGACGATCAGCTAATGCTGCGGCTTGGACGAGTGGCGCAAAGGGCAGCAGAGTGAGTGAATGTGTGTGTGAGCCAGAGTGTGAGATGGGAGACCAATTGATGTGGGAGAGAGTGAGTGATAGTGGCTGAGCGGATGAGTGAATGAGGGAAGATCTGAATGAAATACAAAAAAAAAAAAAAGAAAAAAAAAGAAAAAAAAAAAGAGAAAAATCGCATGAGGAACCACACACAATGACCACGACCACGAGCGAGGAGTGATCGACTGGCGCACAGAGGCAGACAGAGGGAGGAAGAGGAGGAGGTGATGGAAAGAAGGGGTGAAGAGTGCGGAAGACGAGCTGCGGGAGTAGAAAAGGGGAGAATGGAAAGATGGAAGAAAGAAAGAGCGTGGAGCCACAAGAGAGACGGCGAGCGAGCGAAAGCAACGAGCGACGATCGACACTTGCAGAACAAGAGAGGCACAGAGAAGCAAGTGGATGGTGAGCGAAAGGGGGATGGTGGGAGAGAGAGAAGAGAGAGAAGAGAGAGGGAAGCAGAATCGGTCGAACCCTCACCCAATGCCACTGGACAATGGAAAAGCTTCAAAAGAAAGGACTGACAATCAACTCGGATGATCGAATCAATCAATGAATCAATGAATGAATCAGATGGTTGGGGTCAGGGTCAGGGTGAGGCCTGCATGAGAGAGCGAGGAAATCCGGAGAGACAAAAAAAAAAAACCGGGAATTTCTGGTCAGAAGCGACATTTGTGCTGTTGCTGTTGCTGTCAGGTCTCAGGCAAAGTCATCTATTCCCAGCATTCAAGTGTATGGATGACAAGGGCGATCCGACAGTGCCCGTGCTCATCCGCAACAATTTGCTACAATTTGCTTTTGTCTTTCATTCGTTTTTGCACCTTCTTGATCCTTCTTCCCCCGTCTTCTTTTCCCACCGTTCATGCACTCATCTCTCACTTCGAAATCCCAACCACTTGCACAAACTCTCGACTCCCCATCTCCATCCAAATGCAATGCTCAATCCAGTCAATCTTTTGTTTCCCTTTTCCCTTTCTTTTCCAATGCGTTCGTCTTCTTCTTCTTCTTCTTCTTCATCATCCTCGTCTTCCTCCGCGCGCGGGCCTTCGCTCGCCGTGCTGATGGTTGCTGCCGTCGCCATGTGCTGCAGCGCCATCCTCGTCGCTCTGCCCTCGACCAGCGCCATGAATGTGACCTATGACAGCCGGTAAGAGTGAATGAATTTGTGTAATAGCCGATTCTGACTTCCTGACTCAAAGTTCAGCGACCCGTTTCAGCGTGCAAACTGACGAGCGTCAAGTTGTTGCGTTTCTCACTTTGGAACGAGCAACAAGTGCGGAGGCGCAGATGGGGAGAGGCTGGGGATGGGGTTAGGGTTAGGGTTATAGGGGAGATAGCGGGGAACGGCAAATCAAAGCCGCTTCTACGTCCTGCTTTGCTCACTGCGCCAAGAACGCAACCACCCCCCAAACATGACCAGCATTGCACTTTTAATAAGTGCAGTGAAGGTGATTGCAGCTCAAGGGTTTGCACTACTGCGAAAGCAACGAGGCGGCTGATCAAGCGAAACGCTCATTGAGAACATTTGAGAACGGCAAATAGACGATCGCATTGACTGCTCATTCAGGTGTCATTCCCAAGGATGCGTTAGCATCACATCATCATCATCATCATCATCATCATTCGAGCTAAATTCGAATCAATGAGAGAGATCGAACGGAGAAGAATCACAGCGACCAAATCGCTTCGACCGGCAATATTTTACTGAACATCTCCCAATCTGAGCAAACCATCAATCTGAGCTATTGTGGATCATTCAGAGAAACGGAAAAGAAATTCAACACACTCACTGGTTCTGATATTTTGTTTGGACCCTTACCCTAGTGCTCTGCTGCTCGACGGTCAACGCCGCTTGCTCATCGCCGGATGCATCCACTACCCGCGCTCCACCCCGGAAATGTGGCCCGAGCTGTTTGCGCGCGCAAAGGCCAACGGCCTGGACGTCATCCAGACGTACCTGTTCTGGGACGTCAACCAGCCGACGCCTGGCGAGTTTGTCATGACCGACCGCTTTGACTATGTGCGCTTCATCAAGCTCGCCCAGCAGGCCGGCCTGATGGTCAACTTCCGCATTGGGCCCTACGTGTGCGCCGAGTGGAACTATGGCGGCTTCCCTGCCTGGCTGCGCCAAATCTCTGGCATTGTCTTCCGCGACAACGACAAGCCGTGGCTCGACGTCGTGGGCCCGTACATTACCAAGACGGTGCAGGTGCTCAAGGACAACAAGCTGCTCGCCGCTGATGGCGGCCCCGTCATCCTGCTCCAGATTGAGAACGAGTACGGCAACATTGAGGACTCGTACGCTGGCGGCCCGGCCTACGTCCAGTGGTGCGGCCAGTTGGCGGCCTCGCTGAACGCCGGCGCCCAGTGGATTATGTGCCAGCAGGACGACGCCCCCGCCAACACGATTGCCACCTGCAACGGATTCTACTGCGACAACTACGTTCCTCACAAGGGCCAGCCGATGATGTGGACGGAAAACTGGCCTGGCTGGTTCCAGACCTGGGGACAGCCCTCGCCCCACCGCCCCGCGCAGGACGTGGCCTTTGCTGCTGCGCGCTTTTATGCCAAGGGTGGTACGTACATGAGCTACTACATGTACCACGGTGGAACCAACTTTGGCCGCACCGCTGGCGGCCCCGGCATCACCACCAGCTACGATTACGACGTCGCCCTGGACGAGTACGGCATGCCCAGCGAGCCAAAGTACTCGCATCTCGGCTCGCTCCACGCCGTCTTGCACGCCAACGAGCACATTATCATGTCCATGAACGTGCCCGCCCCAATCTCCCTTGGCAAGAATCTCGAGGCGCACGTGTTCAACTCTTCGAGCGGCTGCGTCGCCTTCCTGTCCAACATTGACAGCTCTGTCGACGCCGAAGTCCAGTTCAATGGTCGCACGTTCGAGCTGCCCGCTTGGTCGGTCTCGATCCTGCACAACTGCGCTTTCGCCATCTACAACACTGCTGCTGTCTCCGCCCCTCTCAACGCTCGTCGCATGACCCCGCTGGTTGTTCACGAGGACGCCGTGAGCGACGCTGCCGACCATCGCCGCTCGCTGAGCAAAGGCGAGGGCCAAGAGCGCGTGGGCGCATTCTCCACCTTTGCATCGTACGCCGAGACCATTGGACGCCGCGCCGAGGAGGCCGTGTACTTTACGAGCCCCCAGGAGCAGATCAACACCACCAACGACACGACCGACTACCTGTGGTACACGACCACGTACAACTCGGCCAGCGCCACCTCGCAGGTGCTCTCCATCTCCAACGTGAACGACGTGGTCTACGTGTACGTCAACCGCCAGTTTGTGACCATGTCCTGGTCTGGCTCGGTCAACAAGGCCGTCCCCCTGATGGCTGGAACGAACGTCATTGACGTGCTCTCGACCACCTTTGGCCTCCAAAACTATGGCACCTTCCTCGAGCAGGTGACGCGTGGCATCCAGGGCACCGTCAAGCTTGGTTCGACCGACCTTACCCAGAATGGCTGGTGGCATCAGGTCGGCCTCCTCGGCGAAGAGCTTGGCATCTTCCTCCCTCAAAATGCGAGCAACGTGCCGTGGGCGACACCCGCCACCACCAACCGCGGTCTGACCTGGTATCGCAGCTCGTTCGATCTCCCGCAGTCCTCGCAGGCTCCGCTGGCCCTCGATATGACTGGCATGGGAAAGGGCTTTGTCTGGGTCAACGGACACAACCTCGGCCGCTATTGGCCGTCCCGCATTGCTGACAGCATGGCCTGCGACGACTGCGACTACCGCGGCGCCTACGACGACAGCCGCTGCCGCCAGGGATGCAACATTCCGTCCCAGCGCTACTACCACGTGCCCCGCGAGTGGCTGCAGCCCACCAACAACTTGATTGTCATGCTCGAGGAGATTGGCGGCAACCCAGCGCTCATTTCGCTGGTCGAGCGCGAGGAGGACATTTCCTGCGGCGCTGTCGGTGAAGACTACCCGGCCGACGATCTGTCGGTCGTTCTTGGCTGCGGCTTGCACCAAACCATTCGCCGTGTCGAGTTTGCCTCGTTCGGCACCCCCGTGGGCACTTGCCGCCAGTTCTCCCTCGGCTCTTGCAACGCGGCCAACTCCACTGCGATTGTCGAGTCGCTCTGTCTCGGTCGTCAAGCTTGCCATGTCCCTGTTGCCATCAATCATTTTGGCGATCCCTGCCCTGATGTGAGTTGAGGAGTGATGTTTTTGGCGGTTTGAGCGAATTGTTGGCGATGGACTGACGTTGTTTGTTTGTGTGTCTTTTAGACGACCAAGCGCCTGTTCGTGCAAGTCTCGTGCGCATAAGTGGCGCCTCGCGCAGTGACGTTTGGCATTTGGGGTTTTCGTCGGTTTGCAATCTTCTTGTTTGGATTGTTTTGCAATACAACGATGCCAACTAGACCACGAAAAAGCTGCGTATCGGAGATATATATTGCAAAAACAAAGAAAAACAAACAAACAAAGAAAACAAAACAAAAACACATCAGTTCAGACACTCAATGCTTGATAATCATTTCGCGGCAGAAGGTGCCCTTGGCCAGATAGTCGGCAGCCTTGTTGATTGGGTTTTCAAAGGTGAAATCGTTCGTTTGGAATGTCTTGGGAGCCGTGCGCGCATTGAAAATCTCCATCGCCATGAGCAATTCTGCCGTGCGCCTGAACAAGAAAAAAAAAAAAAAAAACAAAAAAAACAGCATTTCAAGGTGAGGATTTACTCAAAATCATCCCAATCGAATGAATCAAAATACCCCAGAGAAAAATCACTTACTCTGCATCACGGTTGCTGGCCTTGAGTGGTTGCGACAAGGCCTTGTCCACGAATTGGCGTGCAGCAACGCGCATCTCCTCGGTGCGCTCAACCTCCAAGTGGCGCAAACCAATGACGTTCAGGTTCTTGTTGACCATCACTTCATCAATGTTGATCAGCTTTGCCGCTGGTTGCGAGACATCCAGAACGAAAATCTGATGGTCATCGTCAGGGACGGCGCGAATAATGGGCATCACATAGTTCCAGCGCTTGCCGGCCGCACGCAGGTGGATTTTGTCAATGACGCTGTCGAGGCTGTTGTTGATGTTGTTGTTGTTGTTGTGAAGATTGAAGGTTGACAGGGTGAGGAAGAATTCAGCAAGCATCGACGCGATGAGCGAATGACAATTCCATTACCTGACAAGAAGGACGTCGCCTGTATCGAGTTTGCTCTTCATCAGAGAGGGCAGCGAGCGCTTGTGGCCAATCGCCTTCAAGAGTTTGGGTTTGACCAGGCACGGGAATCGCGACACGTCGGCGGGCGTCTGCTCGGTGACGTTCAACGTCTGCGGCACAAGACCGATTTCCTTCAAAGCACCAGCAACAAACGCGCTAAACAGGGCACACAAGGTGCGCAACGTGAGCCACTGAAGCAACCGAGCAATCACACAGTGTTTTTTTGCCCACTGTCCATGGAATAGCGTACCTGCAAATCATGACAGAGTACTCTTCTGGCTCCAGCGTCAAACCAATGCCGTCAAAACCGTCAAAACCGGCGCCAAAGAGCTGGAAGTAACCGAACGGAGTTCGGCGCGCGCGATGGGCAGCCACGTACTTCCAGAGGGCATCGGTTTGCTCTTCGGTCAGAATCTGCAAGCAAATTGGAATGAGTTAGACCAAAGAGGTCCAAGCAAAACACCAAGAACAAAACGCACACGTACGTTTTTGTTTTGGCCATAGTACACGTCTCCAGCATACGCCAGGACGCGTTGGTCGAGATCAAAGCAATGGGAACCCTGCACACCAGCAACGGACAAAAGAAACAAACCCAATGAGCCATCAAGCACCAATTAAAACAAAGTAAAACAAATGCGCCAAATAATTCCGACTTACCGTCCACCACTCGGTCGCGTTGGTGGGATAGTACTCTTCAGGATCGGTGTTGTTGGTGCTCTCAAAGGTCAGGAAGCGACCTGTCGCAGGCTCCTGGAAGATGATGCCGGCGTGCGAGAAGGGGGACTCGGTCCAGTACTTGGTGAGGCCCGACTTCCAGTTTGCGGACGAGAACAGGATGACGTCTCCGGTTTTGAAGTTGGCCCGGGCACGGCAGTAGTCGGCCATCGAGCTTTCAAACGGAGCTGTTCAGGAGAGCAAGCCACGAGTAGTCAAAGGTGAGCGCACGACAAACACTGCGCTTCATGTCATTGACATTGCTTGTCTCGTTTTATTTTACCCTTCATGGCAGTGCGGGAAACCTCGCGAGAAAGACCGCCATCACCCTGCTCAGAATCGAGCCAGTAGTTGACGGGAAAGTCGTACTGCAGGAACGACTTGAGGGATTGCACTTCGATCTTCTCAATGTACCAGGCAGCACCCAGGCCGCTGTTGTCGTGGCGGATTCGGACCTTGTCGATCTGCTCTTCCCTCGCATCGTGAATAAAGCACGTGTCGGTGGACGCTCGCTGGAAGTACTCGTGGTCCTTGTTGAGCTTTTTGAGCTCAAACTCGTCCGACCAGGCGTTCGACTGCTCCCAGTGCACGCTGACAAATGCGTTTGCCTTGGTTCCGGCGTTGGGCAGGTCGCCCGTGACGATCGTGATTCTGAAAGAGTCTGTGAGATGGTGCCAAAGGTCAAAAAGCGTGTAGCACAAAGTGAGATGCTTGCAAATCGTGAAGAGACACCGGATTTCTCAGAACCAGCCGGTACAATGCCAAGTTAATCGACGACTCTGGCTCTCGTTATTCATTAGTGCAACATGAACGAGCGAGCCGCTAAGAGCTGCTAAGAGCGGGGAATGTTTACGCCTTCTTCTGAGCATTTAGGGGCACGCTGATTTGACCCTCTCTCGTCATGACTGCATTATCAGCAAGCTCGCCAATAGCAAGTTGTGGGTTGCTGCAGTTGGTGGTCGAGACGACCAAAAGTGCCGAATCACGAAATGATCCACAACATCAAAAAAAAAAAAAAAAAAAAAAGGGTTCGGTGGTGGCAAACCCTTCACTTTCGCATTGCTGACTAGTGAGTATTTCGTATGAAACAGCTTGTTTTAAATGAAATAAAGCAATAGCAAAGGTTTGTTGTTGCCTTTTTTTTTTTTTTTTTTTTCTGCGGTTCCAACAACAAAACGCTTCCAGGTCGCCCTTCCAGCCCGACCGCTGCCACCATCAGCACACACTCATCACCATCGTCACGAAGGAGTCGCTGCGAGTAGCGCGAGAGTCGAGGAAGAGAGAGAGAGAGAGAAGCAAACTGAAAGGCTGCTCCGACATGACACTGTTATTCCACTGATTCGTCAGCCATCCCCCTTCCTTCCTTCCCCCCCTGCCTCCCCACGTCCACAAGTCAGTCAATGCCATCACGTCGCACTCAACAACGTCAAAGCGATGACTGAGCCACGAGCGACGTGTTCAAAACGAAGAGTTCGACCAAAAAAAAAAAAGCTCACAAATTTGAATCATGATGAAAAAACCAAAACAACAAACGTTTCGCTGCACGCGCGCCAATGCAAAAAAACAAAACACCAGCTGAACGTTGAAGGAAAACGCGAAGGAACGAACAGAGGAAGGAACGAACAGAGGAAGGAACGAACAGAAATAGAGACCGAGATGGAAAGGAAGAAAAAAAAAGCGGATGATGGGAGCAAACCAGCGAAGGGAAAAGGAAAGCAAAGAAGAAAGGAAGAACTGAGGTCAACAAACGCCGGATTGCACACAACACGACGCACCGCGAGGCTTGTTCAGGTTGCGAGCAATCTCGTCGGGATTCTCAACAGGAGGAAGCAGGTCGGGCGAGCTGGTGCCGGCGAGCGCAGGCGGCGCAGTCGTGCAGAACGAAACAACGTTGCCCATGATGATGATGGTGATGGAAGAGTGATTGTGGGAAAAAGCAAAAAAAAAAGAATGGACAAAAGAGGGGGAGTGAACCAAGATCTGAGTTGCTGAGATGTTGGTAATATTGATCATGCTTGGAGCTTTTACAAAGAAATAAAACACAACAGCGTCCATGCACAGTTGCAATCGCCCACGCTCACGCTTGACGTCAAGTTTTGATCCGCTTTGCTCTTTCAATCTCCATTTCAACAGACAACTCAGCTTCGAAAAAGGACAACGCGGTACAGAACAGAGCGGCATCGAATGCACCTTAGCCACAAGATCAAACATTGCTTTGAGCACTAACAGGCGCGCTGCTGCTGAGCACCATATTCTCACGCTCGTCTGGACGTGTTAATGCGCCAATGTCACGAATAGGCTGCCCCGCAGACAGATGTGTAAAGTAGGCACTCAAGAGTGCAAACCTGGGACGTGCAAGCGGATCCAGCTCCCAGCAGGACTGAACCTGGGCGAACAAGTCTGCCGAGCAATCTTCAGGGCGTTCCAAACGCAATCCGGCTTCGACACGCGCAAGGACATCACGGACGGGAATCGAGCCATACGGTGTTGCGCCATACGAAAATGCTTCCCCTGTACGTGCACCAGACAAAAAGACAGTGAGCATCCTCAGCGCTGCCGCCTTCCCTTGTTGTTTTTTTTTTTTCTCGAAAGCACAATGTGGACTCACAAGCGAGCACACCAAAGGCCCAAACATCGCTTTGGTGCGTAAAAGTGCGATAATTCAGACATTCCGGAGCCATCCACTACGAGAAGGGAAGCAGAATTGGATCGTGAGTCACGACAGCTTACAAAATAGTCCTCAACTCTCAAAAATCTGCTGCTCATCTGACCTTCACAGGCAAACGCCCGCGGTGCTCCATGCGATAGTAGTCGTCGTTCTCAGCCAACGAACGGGTCAAGCCAAAGTCGGAAATCTTGACAGACAGACCCCTGCCCACAAGGCAGTTGCGGGCTGCAATGTCGCGATGAACAAACCGAATTGACTCGAGGTACTTTAGACCCGACGCCACTTGGGCCAGCGCATGCGCAAACTCGCTCTTTGACCAAACGACGTGCGCCAGCTTGGACTTTTCCAGGACGCTCCGCAAATCCCCGTACGGCATCAGCTCGAGCAAACAGAGGTACGGCTCCACCTCCAGCAAGGTGGCGATCGCGCGAACCACGTTGGGGTTGTCAAACTGGGCGACCATGCCGGCCTCTTCCACAAAGTCATCGCGAGACTGCTCGGTGGCATCTTCAGCGATGGTTTTGACCGCTAGATCGAGATGCGACTGCGCCGGGTCATGAAGCAGGTACCGCGCATCCATCGGCACGAGCGCGCGAGGCAGACGACCTCCAAAGACCACGCCGAATGCACCGGAACCAAGCTTTTCGCCGAGCACAAGGCCTTGCCGCAGAGTTTGAGTGACTGCAGCGGACGACTGGTAGATGCGATTTGAAGCAGCAGTCGACTCGTACATCGGCGAGGATTGCTGCACAGGGGCATCGTACTCGGCAGCGTTTACAGTCGCGTAGTTTTGGTCGGCGTCGAAAGAAGCAGCGTAGGTCGCATACGTCGGCTCTGCGGTAGACGTCGGCGCATAGGTCGCATAGGTCGGCTCTGAGGCAGATGTTGGCGCGTAGGTTGCGTACGTCGGCTCCGGAGCGGGAGTGGCGCGGTAAAAATCAGTGTACGAGCTGTCGGCTTGTGTTGCGAGATTGTTCTTTTGCAGCGATGCGAGTTCGAGCTTGTTTGCGCGGTCGGCAATTGCCTGAGCTTGATGTTGTCGGCGCCTGCGCACGGCAAGAAGGGCAATCAAGGCTAGAAGAACCAGCACGCCGACCACGGCGCCGATAATGGCAGGAACAGCAGACGATGCGGCATCGGTCTGCGGGCTTTGCTGAATTGGTGCAGAAGAAGAAGAGGAAGCCGAAGAAGTGGTGCCGGACGATGTCGGAGGTTCAGAAGAAGGCGCTGCGGCGACGATGGATGCGGACTGAGTAAAGGCGGAAGAAGTCGCTGGAGCGGGAGCTGTTGACGAGGATCCGATTGCGGTGAACGTCGAGGCAGAGGATGCCGTCGATGATGCTGAGATCAGCGGTGTGGTGGATGCAGGAGAGGCAATCAAAGCACTTGAAGGCTGAGTGGGATGCGAGCTTGTGACAGCAGAGACAGAGACTCCGCCATTCGACGAGGTCGATGCACTCGGTACAACGGACGGAAACACTATCTGCGAAGACAGCAAAAGCACAGATGACGTCGCCACGTTCGGACTCAAAGTGGATGCCACGTTCGGCGAAGAGGAGAAGCCGAACGGCGGCACGCACGCGCCGTCAGCCAAGATGTAGCCGTTGTAGCACTCTGTGCATTCCGAGCCAGTAGTGCAGTAGAGACAGTTGTCCGAGCAGCACGCGCCAGGTCCAAATCCAGAGCAGGTAGAGCACGAAGAGTGGCATTCTGTGTAGCAGCGTGGTGTGCAGTGTTTGAGTGTCAGACTGTTCACAGTGGTTTCAAATGAAACACAAAACTCACTGAATGGATCGCTAGGGCTGCCGTATGTGCTTGGGGGAGCCCGGTGCTCAAAGAGATTGCCTTGAAGCTGGACGTAGTTCTCATTAGGGTCGAGCGAATCGAGCGAAACCAAGTCCTTAAAGAGGCCAGGCGGAAGCGTCGTCAACGCATTATTGGTCAACCAGCTGACGAGCAAAAAAGATCAAACACGCAGCAAACAAAAAAGTGAATGTCGTTGGCAGTGGATGGCGCGCAGTGTTGTTTGACTTACATTGAAGAGGCGACAGTTCCACTGAAAGCGTTCGGCTCGATAACAGTCAACAGCGGGTTGTCATAAATGTTTCTGGCAGCGATTTCCACAAATGAATGCCTCAAGCATTGGTCCATCCAAGCAAAGATTTTGGGGAGAGAGGCAGGCAGGCATGTCCTTACATGTTTTCAAGTCGTGCATGGTTTTGCAGCGCAAACGGGGAGGCCGGAATCGAGGTCAACTGTGTGCCCGAAATGGTTCTAGCACAGCACCACGATGCAAAAATGCCATCGAATGTGAGCATGAAGGCAAAAAACAACAAAACGACAACTTGAAATTCAAATGAAGGTACATTTCCACAAGATTTCCGGTCGTGACGGGAAACGTCTCCATCGTCTCGATGCAGTCGAGCACAAACAGCCTGTTCCCTCGTTCGGTGTAGCACTCGCACTCGCTTGGACAGACCTCGCCATCGTCCTGCGCCATCGCGGTCGCGAGCATGAGCGACAGAACTGTCAAAGTGATCAGAGCGTGCTTCATTTCCCCCCCCCCTCACCTGTGACAAGCAAGCAAAACAAATGCGAGACGAGTGAGACGACATGTATGGAGCAGTGAAGACCAGCAGCAACCGCAAAGTATGTGGGCTGGCTTTCAGCTCGGGTGATGTGAGAAGCGAGAAGTTAGTTGAGCAAAGAAGCAAAAAGAGAAATCTCGCCAAGCAGAGCCGTAATTTTTGATTCGTGAGTGTTTGGTGTTCTTGCATTGTGTTTGTCTTTTGGGGTGTTGAGTGCATTGTTGGTCAGTGCGTGAATGGTGTGCGGTGAACGGTGCTGTGTTGTGTTTGGGTGGTACAACCAAAATCGGGCCCACCCGTCGTCCACCCCAGTCACCCGCCGCCTCGCAGCAGTCGTGGGCCACTGTCGGCTTTGCTCTGCACTTGTTCGCAATGCAGCCTTGCTTTCCACCCCCCCCCCCTGCGACGACGCGTCTCCCCCTTCGTAAGTAGAGTCAACGAGCGGCTGATCAAAAACATTCTAAAAAATACAACAACAAAAAACCACGCATTGTTGCATTTTTGTGATTTTGGCAGTTTGGATGAAAGCAACGAACGACGGGAGACGCGGAAGAGAGAGCGAGAGAGAGAGAGACGCGCGCAATGAACAAAGCACTGCTGTTGCGATGGGACAAAGGCGGAAGAAGAAGAAGAGGAGGAAGAAGAAGAAGAAGAAGAAGGAAAACGAGTGGAGACAACACATAAAAAAGGTTCCGCAATGAATGATAAAAAGCGACATTGCTTTACTGTGTTGGATCGGGAAAGCAAAGAAAAGACAAAAATTACAGAGTGAATGGAAAACTCATGCGAGGGTCTGAAACGGAAGAAATGAAGGGGGATGAGCGTGAGAGTGAGGAGAGAGAGCAGACGAGTTTTGTTGTTTTCTGCCATTGATTAGCTACTGCATTGGTTTTGTTGTGAGCAGTTGCGCATCTCCGACCTGCCTCTCCCTCTATCTCTCTCTCGCTCTGGTCATGTCTGAAATCCAAATCTGAAATCCAAATCTGAAAATCCAAATCCAATGCAGTTTCAGTCACTTTCTCTGTTTTTTTTTTTTTTTTTTCTTTCTTGTAAGATTGGTTGTTTTTTGTTTGTTTGAGCTCGGACTGCGATCGCGACACGCACCAACCCGCCAAACACCATTGAACCAAGCTTGATCTGAAGAGTGCAACACGAAGTGGGTGAAACTGAGCCCGTTGTAGTCGTAAAGCCAAGTGAGGCTGCATTCGTGGCGTTTTTTTTTTTTTTTTTTTTTTTCCATTCAATCTCCATTGCGTTGCGACTCTGCGTCCTTCCTCGCGACTCGCGGCTCTTCCGCTCAGTGCGTTCTCATCACAGCTGCACATCTCAGACTGCTTCCCCTTCCCAGTCCCACCCTGGCTGGGGTTTCCCAGTCTGGTTCAGCTCAACGCAGAGATCTTTCACTTTTTTTTTTC